GGAAGAGAAGACAAACTGAACTCTGATAATAGAGTAGTAACAACTTCCAAGTAGATCTAGCCCAACAAATTGGTTCGCTTTGCAACCTGGTGGCATCAGGTCTCAGCAAAATGAGCCCTTCACAGTGTTGAGAAACTCTGTTGCTCTTTTACCGATATACATGATAAGGTACCGAAGGTTTCCCCTTGAACGAACCTCGAATATTACTTTTAGCAAACTTGGTAGTTCTTTTGTGGATATCATCTATTGCTGAAGCTGACCTTTTATCATAAATCTTGCTTTTAGGCAATCTTGGAAATGAAGAAAAAGGCGACTACTGCAAGAGCTTGCATGTTTCCCATCTGGAGGCAGTCCAAAATGTTGTGCGATTACACCAAGAGCTCCAATGCTGCCTTAGATGAAATTTCAGCTCTGGCTTCTTCAAATGGACATTCTATTGAAGAGGTAAGCACTGATATTTGAGTTTACTGCATTTTATTTAATTTTTTGGAGTTTTTCTTGGTTAATGTCTGCACTTTTGTTTATTAATTATGCATCAGTTCCTTTTGTCCGAGGCCTGCAAAGCAGCTTCAATATTTGATGATCTTCAGGATAGTTTTGTAACTCACCAGGATGAAATGGCTGTTTTTGCAAAGGAACTAAGACAGGTTGTGCTCCATTGTTGAGTTGAGTTTGTCTTTGAAGCGGTAATGCAACTGATTCTGAATTTCTGATACCTTACCTTTTTTTCTCTTTTAGAGCATAGCAATTTAGGAATTGCATTTATTCTGCAATTATTTTTTGTTGCCTACAATTTTTTTGCTTGCACTATTTATATTTAGCATAATTTCCTATAGATGGGTTGCATAGCTAGACTCTTTCTTCTCTTTATATTTATTTCCTTTTCCTTTCTGATTTCACTTTTTCTCCGTTCTCTTTTGATTAACAGAGGTTCCATGTCAGTATTGAGCAAACAAAGGACATTTCTGATTATAGCAGTGAAATTCTGGATAAGCTTTCAGAAGAGTCTCTGAGGGTTCAGAATCACGCTGTGCAAGCTGATAAAGTTCAAATGAAGAACATTGCTAGCTTCCAGAAGGCTTACGAGGTATAATATGCATTTTACTATTTCTTGACCTGAGATACATTATTGAAGTTTCTTATTCATCAAGCATATGCCATGTAGGAGGAATCGAAATCTGATGCAGATAAGCTTATTGCCGATATGACAAATCTTGTGTACAACCATGTTCGTCGGCAAAAAGAGCTGGTTTGTTCATTCCCTATTTGGTTTCTAGTTTTGCTTATGGTTATTTGAAGACCAAGCAATGATTTCTCTGGCAGGTGGATGCAAGGCTTGATGCTATCAAAGAAAGTGTTGACGCTAACAAAACATTTTTGGACGGACATGTTTCCTCCATGGACGGTATTACAACAGACGCCAAACGAAAATGGGAAGCATTCACCACACAAGCAGAGAATGATGCTAAAGACACTGCTGACTACTCAGCTGCTAAACATTGTCGTATCGAGGAACTCCTACAGCATTGGTAAATTATGTCTTGAACGTATTTTGAATCCTTTTCTTCTCATTTTTTGGTTTTGGTTTTGACTTTTCCTTTTTCTGTCTTTAACTCAAGTGTGACTACTGCTGAATCTGCATTCAAGCACTACAAAGTACTCAGGAATCTGTGAATGGAAGGGTAGTAAACATGTTCAGATATGTGTCACTTATCAGGTTGGTAGTGAACATCTTTTGCAGAGTATTTGTCATTGCAAATGCATGCAAGTTAGTTTACTTTTCTCCTCAAAAGATAACAATAAATTCTTTCTAGAGCTAATTTTTTTGTTGGCATATTAGTGCACATGTAATTGGTTCCATTTTGTAGTATTTTGTTGTCTCCTGGAAGCTAATTTCATTATGTTTCTATCAGGAATGCTACTGATGCAAATGAGCAGCATGATGCTGAAATTGATACTGCCCGCATTGTGGCTGAGCAAGATGGCTTGATAAATACAGATGATACCCTTCAGTACATTGATAGTGAGTCTCTTTCTGTATAGCATTTACTGTAGAGTTTATGTTTGATGCCAACTGTTGGCTTATCTAAGATTGGTTTTGAAATATCTTGCATTCAAGGGGACACAACAATTCGTTTGATTCTTTGGTGTCAGATGTTTTAGTGTTTAAACTGTGTGCAATTTAGTACTTTGATAAGGTGAAAGTACCACAAGAGACAAAGGAAAAGTTAGCTTCAGCATGGGAATCCTCTAATGAGATAATTTCTTGGTGGAATTCTGCACAGGAATGTCAGAGCAGGAACAGGGAATAACACGGGGAATTGTGGACTCCATTAAAGCTCATAGGAAAAGCCTGGAAACATTCCAGGATGATCATTCGAGTCAAGCTTCAACGATCAAGCAGAGAGCAGAAGAAACATTCCAACAAAGATACATGGTATGTATGTTAGTGCATAAAGCTTTTGACTTAACCAACCATGTAGACTAAAATTTGTGCATCGACAAAACTATATGTATAGGATTATGAGCCAAGTGGGACAACACCAACACGAAGCGAGCAAGATGTTCCAAGCAAAGGGACGATTGAATCACTACGAGCCATGCCAATGGAAGCTCTGGTCGAAGAATTTCGTGAAAACAACTCGTACAAATCATTTGAGGGGAAGGAATTGAAGGTATCATTAATACCACGCTCACCCCTTACTCAAATCAATTAAAAAAACTCGGTGGTGTTGACTTGTTCATTGTGCAAATCACGTTTATGTGTATGATTATTGTAAAGTGTTATATTCGAATCATGTCTTGGAAGATTGTAAGGATGTAGCGGTTTGGAGGGTTGTATAAATAATCCTTTCTCAGGGTTAGCAATTTTAAGCTTTGAATGGAGAAATGCAAGCTTTGCCCAAACCCCATTATTGGGTTTTGGAATATTATCACCATTTAATTTTTATTTATTGTATTTTACCAAATTTGTCGGTGGATATTGTATTTTTATTTTAATTATTATTATTATTATATTTCTAAATGACATCATGAAATGTGAATTTCAAAATGAATTTACAAAATTAAATACCATTAATTAAAATACTCAGGAAAAATTCGTTGATTTTATTTTCGAGTCTTATTTTCGTAGAAAACCAGCTGGTAAAAGATTTCACCTATATGGATTATGGAGTATGCTACTTCACTAGTTCCAAAGGTTCTTCGTCCTTCGTTTCTTGCTGGAGCATGTGAAACTAAAGGGTACTCTACTATTCATTACTCTTTGTTGTGGTTAGAGATGCACATAGCTAGATTTAAATCCGATCCGGTTTTTTCACTAAGCCAAAAAATCGGTTTATAAAAAAACGGGTTCGGATCATAACCGGTTTGGAGGGCCGGATGATGTAACCGGTTCGGTTTGAAAAAAACCGGTTTTAAAAAAAACGGTTTTTAATCTGTAAAAAATCTGGTCATCCAATTTTTTAAACCCCAGACCGGATTTTTTTCCGGATAAAAACTGGTTTTTTATCCAGCTTTTTTCAAACCGGTTTTTAATCCGGTAAAAAATCCGGTCGTCCAATTTTTTTCTCAAACCGATTATACTATCCGGTTTTAAAATTATCCGATCCGGTTTAAAAAAACCGGTTTTTCCTAAATCCGATTTCGAATATTTTTACACAAAATCGGATATTCAGATTTTTTGTGCACCTCTAGTTGTGGTGATATGTGGATTAGAGGAGTCAAATTGGTTATTTTGGATAAAAAGTTGAAGTTATTTTTTAGGGTTGGAACATCAACAAATTTATGTCAACATTTTAAGTGGATTTTAGGCATTTTTGGGTCAATATGTTTTCTTGCATTAAAATTAGTTGTGTTTTAGTTTTTCAATGCATCTTAAACTTCTTAATTTAATGCCGGAAGTTCAAGATATGTATATTCTAATAAAGGCGACAGATGCAAATATTCCTAAACGGAGTTAATAATTATGAATTTTTAATAATTTTATTAATTATTTGTAATTTAAATAAATTTAGGGTTCTACAATATTTATTATGATTAGAATTTAATTTTAATTCAGCACATATAATAATTTGTGCGTTTGTAATTTCAACTGTTGAATCAAGATTAGATCTAGGATTAAGCAACCTATGCGCCTATCCATGTCATAATCTTTGTGTTTAGCTTATCTTGCAATTTTATTCATTTGATCTAGAAGAGATCAAGAGCTAAGATTGCAACCGCTCAATTGTATTAGGGTTTTAGGTATTCATCTTTGATATTATGTTACCAGAGTTATGCGTATCATTCTCTTATAAATGGGTGCAACCTTTTCACTTGTTTTTTCATATCTTGAATTATAATTTTATTTCATATATGAGTTTAGAGTATATTTTTATAAGTACTTTTACTTGTGTTTTCGAAATTGTAAGGATGAAGCAGTTTGGATTAGTGCAAGATCTGGTGTATTGCACTGTCTTAGACTTCCTCAGGTTTTAGCAAAACTAAGCCTAAACCCCACACCTAGGTTTGTACCATATATCATTACAATATCGTCAACGTTTAATTTCCATTTACCGTATTTTGCCAATTCTGTTGATGGATATTGTACTTATTTTAATGATTATTATCAACTTTTGAGAAATTAATTTACAAATAATGTTTTTAGTAAAACAAATTAACTAATGTTTTTTCTTATAAAATGACATAATGTTCACATTTTAAAAGCGATATGTGCAACTGCAATCAAAAATAAAATTGTATATTCATATAATATAAAAATGTCATAATATTCATATTTATTTTCTAAATTACCTTTTAATTGATTTATATTATTATATATTGAATATATATTTATTTTCTAAATTTAAAATTTATACAAAAATATTAAATTAAAATCCTGTTATTATTTTATAATATAAAGTGCTAACATGTATGATTAAGAAGTAGTAAAGAAAATAAAGAGATATTGAGAAGCATTTGAGGGAAACAAGTGTTTTCATTTGTTCATCCTTTCAGGCCTTTGCATGCTATAAGCACAGGAGCGCGCGTTCCAGAGTGATTGGTTCAGTTCCATTGTTGAATGCAAACACATGAGCCATCTCAAATACTGCTACTGTTGGATATACCCTGTTGCTGATGATTGTTTTCCCACCTGCTGCAAAGCTCTCCACCACCGAGTGATCAATCTGCCAAAACAAAGTGTTTCATTTTTTAAAAAAAAAGTTTGAAGTGATTACGAGATACTATTTGTTTAGAATTTTTCTTAGTCAATTATGCACACACACGCAGACGTAGCTACTTGAACCTAATAACGCTCCCTTTAACTACTGAGACAATTTGATGGGTTCTCAAAATCTTTCTTAGCAATTAATAACGCGCATGTATCCTTCGAATACAGTTGTTTGAATCCGAAACCCCTAGAAAGAACAATATTCATTTTTATCACTGAGGTCGCTAGATGAGTTCAAATGTTTTATATTTATATATATAAAATTTTTTGAATTAATAACTAATATTTGATCCATTGGATAGAGTAATTTAAATAAGATTTTGTAGAGGTCCATTATGGGACGACGCTGCCAATCCAGTTTGCTTCCTTCGTAATCGTCAGGGTACAAATGTCTTACTTAAGAACTCTAATATCTTATTCCCACTAGACCAATGGGTCCTTGATATATTTATATATTTTTAATTGCACACCACTTTATAACAAAAATAATACGTACCAAACTTCTGAGAGAGAGTTTTTTATCAGCCAAATCGACATCTACAAAGCCACCGTACATTGGTTTATAGACATCAGTCTTCAGGGTGGAACTGCAACAAAGAGATCAAACAAAAATCAGGTTAACACTAATGAGTCGAATCTTTTATGTATATATATACATGTAATGGATGAATTAAACTCAGAATGAGCAACAGACTGTTCTTCATCAGAGCACATGAGAACAACAGGTTTGTTGTCTTTAGCTTTGAATATCCTGAAGAAAACTGGAGTGAATTCTTCTAGCTTTTCCGTAGCCAACACCATCAGACCGAACGGACCGATTGCGCCCTGCACTGATTTCTTTTTGAAACAAAGGTCTTGAGGATCTTTCCAACTAGGATCGAACGGCTCAGCTTTGTCCAAGTTGGGTATTGAGAAAGTGACTACAACATCAGCCTGCATAATAAAAGATGAATTTCCACCCTCATTCAATTAATCACGTTGTTTATAAATAAGACATAATATCAAAATTAGCTTACAATGTTTACCAAAATGGACATTTTGGCCCCTATTATTTTATTGGAGTATTTTGGTGCAACGTTTCATTTTAGCAAAAAGTCAATTCGTAAATGAAAACGGTTAGTTAACAAACATTTAACGCTACAAAATATGTGCATTTTAACCCTAAAATAAAATGTTGGGGCTATAATGCAATTAAATGTTAGGAGTCTTTTTACTTTAAAATGAAACGTTAAGGGTCAAAATGCTCCATAAAAAAGAATAAGGTCAAAGTGAGTAGTAGCGAATCTAGAAATATTTATCAGGGTGGACACATGTAGAAATTTTTCGTATGAGGTAGACACAAATAAAATTGTAGGGTAGACACCATTAGTAAAATGAACATCCAACAAAAAGAAATTCGAATTTCAGAGTGGCCATGTACACATACATCCGCCACTAAAAGTGACTATTCAATCAAATATTAGGGACCTTCTTGTCGTAGAATGAAAAATTGAGGCCAAATACTCTAAAAAAAGAATAGGGTCAAAATTACCATTTTGATAAATATTGGGAACCAATTTTGACATTATATCTATAAAAAAAATATGACCAAACCTGAGCGCCAGTTATCCCTTGGGATAGTTTAACAGGCTTCCCTGTTTCAAGCTTATGATTGCTCTTATGGATCATTTGCCCCCTGAGTGTCTCAATCTCTTCAACAGGCCATTGCACCAATTGCTTTCCACTGGGATCAAGCAACACTGTTCTAGGAATCAACTGACACAAAAACATCCATTAATGTTCATCACCATAACTATATATATGTGTGTGTGTGATGGTACCTGAATTCCAGCCCATCCTTTTTTAACATCATCTTGCTTAGTATCGGACTCATTACTCCAACCCCATACAATCCTCCTGTGCTTCACTGGATCAAAGAACGACTTCGATGCATAAAAGTTACCATAATCTAATCTAAGTCCATCCCAGCCATCAGCCTGGCCCTTGTCGGGAACATACTTGTCTTGGTCCGGGAAATAAGTTCCAATCGTGTAATAATCATATCTTGTCGCGTCCAAGCTCACTTTCAAAACATGTTTCACATCGTTCCCTAGTTCAGAAGTATCCAACCCCGTCTTACCAGAAATCGAAACAGGGTAGAAATCCGGACATTCCCAGTTGCCTGTTCCCGGGACCTGGTGCAAAGGAACAGGAGTTTTGACCCATGTCTTTTGATCCTTGCTCTTGAACAAATAAGCTACACCGACGTCGTTTTTCCTACTCCCGACCAATATGTGCCAATACCCATTTGCTTGCCATGCGGTCGTGGGATCACGAAAGGAACTGCCGTTGATCTCATTATCGGGAACCACCATCGGGTTTCCTTCCTTGGGCTTTTTCCATTTACGTAGGTAAGGATCCGACGGGTTCTCCGGTACGGCGTAGTTTTGTAACTGCTTTTCCTTGGCGTCGATCCCTGTGTAATAAATAACCACTTTATCGCCTGGGAAAATGGTGGCTGAACCTGACCAAGTGCCCTTTATATCAAAGGGTTTTGAAGGGTAGATTGCAGGTTCAAGGGGTTCCCAATTCACCAAATCTTTTGAGACTGAATGTGCCCATACTATGTTGCCCCACACCGACCCCTTGGGGTTGTATTGATAAAACAAATGGTAGAATCCATTATAATACATGGGGCCTGCGTGATCAAAAACATTATTTCTCAGGATCATTACTTGCAAAACTATAGGTTAACTTGGGTTCATTAAAATGAAACTAAAAACACTCACCATTTGGATCTATCGTTCGGTTTTCAAACGCCCCCGGTGGAAAAGAAAAGGAAGAAGCCAAAAACAAAGAAACTAGAAGTCAGTGACAATGTCAACTTTGTATCTATCATGATCAAATTGATATACTGGGATCAATGGATCATAGGTGACAATTTATGCAATAAAGATGTGATTCCACTGTTGAAGAACAAAAAGCAAAGAAAGTTGGCAGTGGTTAACTAGTTCTTAGAAGTAGGGTGAGTAAATCTCGACTTGAATTTTTTTTTATATTCGAATAATAACTCAAATAATTTGAAATTTTTAGTAATCAGTAGATTGATTTTTAAGTTTGAGTCGAGCCCCTCAATTATGTATGGTATATTTATATCTCATATGAAGAAATATGGATATATATAGAAAGTTATTTAAATCGGAATCAAATAGTATCATAATATTATAAATATTTACAATTAAACTTAAAAAGAAACTCGAACAACTCGAGTCGAAAAAGTTTTAAATAAAGTTTGAGTTATAAAATAAGACTAATTAATTTGAATAATTCAAAAAAAATTTACTCAATACAATCAAACACTCTTCCCTACTAAAAATATTTATCCACCAAGTAATGGGGACTCTATATAAAATAGAGTTGTAAGTTGATTTTAACTTTGAACATTTCCCTTTCATGTTCACTTCCAATATGGAAGTATGCGTTTGACCTTCACCTTTTTACAATGCTTTCTTTTCTTTTATGCGAAATTATAAGGTTCGAATTTTAACATTTATCGTATATATGGGTTACAAAAGAAGAAAAAATAATATCGAAGTGAAGTATAAAAGCATTGATGGAGAACATACCATTGATCCAATGCTTTGGAGGCTGAAAATGGTAAACCGTTCTATGGAGTTGCTTAACGGTTGTTGCAGCCAAAAACTGATATTCAGGGAAAACCCTATGAGAAGCTTCGACTCCCTTCAGTAATGAAATGATAAGATTCCATAGTAGCAAACAAAGAGAAAGACACTTTGAAACTTCCATCACTAAAGAGGCCAAGTTAGAATTTACGGTAATAAACTAATAATATGGATTGACCATTTATAGCGTTATGAGATCGGTGGTGAATGGTGCCGATCGATTTTCGGAATGTTAACTTTCATTGAATCGATTATATATACTGAAATTGGTGTAATTTTAGATATTTTTCGTTGCATATATCACTAAAAGGTGGTTGTTGACCAGTGATTAGGTCCTCGCTTACACTAGAATTTCAAGAAATTATATTTTAGAAGCTTAGATAACAAAAAATGTAAGCAGACGCTTTAGTAATTATTTTATATTTACATATACTCTGCAGGTATTTCCACTCCAGTCTAGGCCATCCCCACTCTTCCGTATTTCAATCAATATAAATTGAGGTTATAGGTTAAAGATTAATCGATGGATTGGTCATTCACCTGAGCTTCCACACATGTATATCTTTTTCATAATCAATGGCGGATTCAAAAATATTTTTGAGGGTGAATTCATATATATTAATGACATAAATTTTTTATATGAAACGATCACAAATAATATTTCAGAATAGACAACATTAATAAAATAGATAACTAATAAAAAAATTCCTCATGCCCCCAGACTATAAATCCATCCGTCATTGTTCATAATGCCCGTAGTTTTAATTATGAAGGAATGTATGTTTTGAAGTATAATAAGTAATTTGATTGGTATGGTTTTTATTATAATATTTAAACGGATGTGAGTTTGAACATGTAATCGTATTAAACCATAACTTATACACCTGGATAGATCCCAATGACAAGTCCAAAAATATGCTGTCCCAGAAAATTATCTGACGCTTATCTACGAAAATTGATCAAGCCAGCTCATCTCAACCCGGTGGATCCGATGAAGGTGTTAACGCCAGTGCCTTCCTGGTGGTCAAACAGCCGTTGGAGAATGATATTTGGCTGAAAAATGAACCACAGAGGGATAGGCTATCTGCAAAGAAGCAGAGATTTCTTTCATTGAGTTAAAACCAAAGACCCTTTATATTCAGCACCCCATACAGGCACGTGGAAATGGCCTGGTTTTTACCCAGTTTTGTTTATCAGATAAAAAGGGTATGAACACATCTGAGGTAGATGAAAGTAAGCTTGGTACATGCGTAACTGATATAGATCCATATGTGAACGATAATACATCTGTTGATGGCTGGAGTGGCCGTAGATACGACTATGGGAGTCTTTATGCGTCAAAGATTTTCCTTGATCCTGCTAAAAGAGGATTTTATGCATTCACCTAGGGCTTATCCTACATTAGCAGTACTTCAGAATGCTCATTTGCATACACATTCAACAATGGGAGTCTGACAATTTACGAGGAAGTTACTATAACATACATTTGAACATCAATTTAACTCAAATTCTTTATCAGTTGTCAAATCCAGAATCCACACAAATAGAATAATAGCAAAGAAGTAAATGGAAAATTTTCCAAGTCTGGCATTCAAATTGCTTTAAAGCAGACAGGATAACCCTACTCAGTCTACTTGATCTTCTTCTTGGGACTCAACTGCAACAAGTGAAAGGAATATTTAGTTTCATTTCACATTTGCAACAAAAAAGGAAATGAAAGATAATAAAACCTACAAGAACCCAAAAACATAGGGATATGCAAACCTGATTGCTGTGACCACACTTCTTCTTGCGGCAGTTCACGGCTCTTGGATGCAGACGAGCATAACACCTAGCAACCACACATCATCAAGTAATAATTAATTCCAACAATACACAATATTAGAGCAAAGCAGTAACCGAGAGCATGCTACTAACTAGTTCTTGTCACTAGGCTCTTCAGATTAATCATTTACTTGATCTTACCGTATATAAAACATCAATCTCAATAACAATTGAAATAAATAATGACCACATGATTAAAATATTTAGCGATTATGCCACTAAATTGGCTTGATCATTAATTATTAGCTAAAATGTTAACGTGACAATTAAATAAATTCGTATAATTACATATTGGATCTTCATAACTTACATCCTATCAAATTGATCCTAATTTAATTTATTTTTAATAAATTTATTCATCTTAGATGATAACATGTGTTATTATTCATTTAATTTTTGTATTTTTTATGTTGAACTATGTTTCGATATAACAATTTAAGGCAAAATGGTTTTTGGACTTGAATTGAATTTACAAAATGTTTTTGGACTTAATTGAATTTATTCAAAGTTTTTAAAAGGTTTAAAAAATAATTCAAAATCAATTAAAATTCGGATTTGAGCCAAAAATATTTTAAGGGGTTTCAAGATTGCCCAGGGGGTATAGATTCCCTATGAAGGGGTACCGATTCCCTCTATTCTGGGCAACCTTTTTGAGTATAAAAATCATCCCCAAACGGCTCCAAAACATCCCCAACGGCTATATACAACTTCAAACTCATTCCAAGCTATAAATACAAGCTGAGGACACTTGAAGAAGAAAGAGAACAACTATCCAAGCAATCAAACACAAGAGAAGAGTTTTTCATTCTTATTTCATCTTTCTCTTGTAAATATTTTGTTCTTGTGAGCTCAATCTTGTAAACACCTACCTTAGAGAGGTTTTCTTGTTTACATCTTTTATCCTATTGTAAAGGGGAAAGGTTCTAGCTAATCCCGTGTAAAAGCTAGGGAAAGGTTCTAGTTTAGCCCGGAAAACTAGGGAGTTTGTAAGGTTACTCTTTATCCTCAAAAGAAAGAACAAATTAGTGAATTTGTTGGAAAATCCTTGGTGAGGAGCTAAGGTAGTGGACGTAGACTTTGATTGAGAAAGTCGAACCACTATAAATCGCTGTGCAATTCTCTATCTTTCAATCTCCTTACTCCCTAAACACAAAAACCGTTCCGACCCCTCTTTGCAAATCATTCCAGTTGTCGTTTCGAGCTTCCGAAAATCCCAACAATTGGCATCAGAGCCTAACTCGTTAAGAAGGTTTAACCACCTTGAGACGATCCTAGAAGAAGCTCTATCAATTCCCGACGCAACCGAGAAAGAAATGACTTTTTCCTCCGGTGCTTATTATCTTGAAGAATATCCTATTATGGATTCACAACCGGTCAACAAGCCACCCTTCTTCAATGGAGCAAATTATGCACATTGGAAGAATAAGATGATGTACTTCATTCAATCATACAATCTAGGAGCTTGGTACTCAATCATGGACGGTTACTCCTTTCCACCCGGCAAGTACAACGATTGGAGTAGAGAAGAGCAGAAAAATTTTCAGCTTAATTCTAAGGCTATACATATTCTATTTTGTGCTTTAGGCCCAAATGAATATGGAAGAGTCTCATCTTGTTCCAGTGCCAAAGAGATTTGGGATAAGCTCCAAGTCACTCATGAAGGAACCGACGAAGTGAGGGAATCAAAGAAAAGTCTTCTCAACCATAGCTATGAGAACTTCAAGATGAAACCCGATGAAGACATCAAAGCTATGACGGATAGATTCTCTATGATTGTCAACGGTCTCAATGGATATGGAGAAGTAATCCCAAATGAGAAGCTTGTGAGGAAGATGATTTACTCTCTTCCAAAGGAGTGGCAATCAAAGAAGACGGCCATTATCGAAGCAAGAAACCTAAAGTCTCTCACTCTCGACGAGCTAATTGGTTCCCTTCTCACTCATGAGATGATGGTGAAGGAAGATGAAGAAAGGGAAGAGAAGAAAAACAAGCAGAAGAAGAATGAGGACGTAGGCATCAATGAAAGCTATCAAGATTCAAGTGATGAGGTTGATGAAGACGATGATAAACAAAAAGAAGAAATGGTCAAGCTCTTGAAGGAACTCAAGAGATTCATGATTTCCAAGGAAGTGAAACATGAATCAACCAAGAAGAAGAGTCCCCCGGTATGTTTCGATTGTCAAAGAAAGGGGCATGTCATGTATGAATGTCCTCTTCTAAAGAAAAAGGGGAAGAAGACATTTGTTGCATTTTTGGAGTGATGAAGATGATTCCAATGATGAAGATGAAGTAGTCAACCTATGCCTCATAGCCACTCATGAAGAAGTTGAAGTATCTTCTAACTCAAATGAATTTAATTCATTTACTTTTGATGAGTTACAAGATGCTTATAATAGGTTGTATTTGGGATTTGAGACCATGAATTCCAAATATACGAAATTAATTTCAAAACTCAAAATTAAAGATAATTTGATTTTGAAAGCAAAAGTTGATTTTGAAAATCAAAATCAAATTTTGAAAAATGATTTAGAGCTTTCAAAAATCAAAATAAAAGATTTAGAAAAGAAAAATTTTGAGTTAGAAGTTAAGCTTGAAGGCTTAACAAAAGAAAAAGAATTAATTTCTAAAAATAACCTATTATGTGTAAAAATGGCAAAATGCTCACATTGCCATTTTCATGGTCATTTGGAACATACTTGTCCTTTGAAGAAAGGAAAACATTTTAAAATTAGACAAGTATGGGTTCCGAAAGGAACAAGGGGCATTGAAACTAACGTCCAAGGATCCAAAGCAATTTGGATACCAAAATCGAAATGAATGTCTCTTGTAGGTGTGTGTGAGCAATGGTGATGAAGATGATGATATTCAAGATGCTCTAGCCACACATGAAAAAGGAATGGGTAACCTCTAAGCTTAATGCTTTTAATTTTGGTTATTTGGTTGCTCATTTAATTTTAAGCATGCATGAGTTTTGATTTTAAGTAATTATGTATTATTTTTAATCTCATGTATGTTAAAAAGAAATTATGATGAACATTTTAATGTCTTAATAATTTTTCAAAATTTTTAGTTCATCATATTTAAAATTTTGGTCAAAATTGGTTGTAATGCAATTGATATCTCTCTAACAATTGATATCAATTTTTCAAATACTTTGATTTTACAAATTTTAAAAATTTATGACCTAAATTTGAATGTTTATGCATGAGGTTTAAATGAAAATGATATCTCTCTAACAATTAATATCAAAATTTTCAAATGCATAACATTTTTTGGAAAACTTTATGCATATGCACTTAATTTTAACAATTGGTATTAATATCAAATTTCAACAATTGGTATTGCATAAAGTATTTTAGACTTCGATATATTGAATTTCATGTGCCTCTAACATGCTTGTTATTATTTGTAGAAATTCAATATTTTGTTTAAGTGTCATGAACTTAAAAGCTTAATTTTATTTGGAATGCATTTATTCAGGGGGGTTTTGATTTTTCAAATGATTTTTAAAATGTCAAATTTACTACTTACTCTCCAAAGTTATTTTGAACTTCAAAGATTGAATTATTTTTGATATAACAAAAAGGGGGAGAGGTTATGGTTTGAAAAATTCAATTTCTTAATGAAAAAGGAGAAAATGGGGAGCTTAACATTTTCATATGTTTTCCAACAACTAGTATCTTTTTCATTAAACATTTTACTAAAGGGGAGTTTTGTCAAAAACAATTTTTCAAATGTTTTGTTATATCAAAAAGGGGGAGATTGTTGAACTATGTTTCGATATAACAATTTAAGGCAAAATGGTTTTTGGACTTGAATTGAATTTACAAAATGTTTTTGGACTTAATTGAATTTATTCAAAGTTTTTAAAAGGTTTCAAAAATAATTCAAAATCAATTAAAATTCGGATTTGAGCCAAAAATATTTTAAGGGGTTTCAAGATTGCCCAGTGGGTATAGATTCCCCCCCAGGGGGTACAGATACCCCGGGTACAGATACCCCCCAGGGGGTACAGATACCCCCTGCAGGTTTTTGCCTCTGAGAAAAACAAAATGTCCAGGGGGTACCGATTCCCATCTTGTTCAACAGCCCAACGGTCATAATATTTGAATATTATGAAGGGGTACCGATTCCCTCTATTCTGGGCAGCCTTTTTGAGTATAAAAATCATCCCCAAACGGCTCCAAAACATCCCCAACGGCTATATACGACTTCAAACTCATTCCAAGCTATAAATACAAGCTGAGGACACTTGAAGAAGAAAGAGAACAACTATCCAAGCAATCAAACACAAGAGAAGAGTTTTTCATTCTTATTTCATCTTTCTCTTGTAAATATTTTGTTCTTGTGAGCTCAATCTTGTAAACACCTACCTTAGAGAGGTTTTCTTGTTTACATCTTTTATCCTATTGTAAAGGGGAAAGGTTCTAGCTAATCCCGTGTAAAAGCTAGGGAAAGGTTCTAGTTTAGCCCGGAAAAACTAGGGAGTTTGTAAGGTTACTCTTTATCCTCAAAAGAAAGAACAAATTAGTGAATTTGTTGGAAAATCCTTGGCGAGGAGCTAAGGTAGTGGACGTAGACTTTGATTGAGAAAGTCGAACCACTATAAATCGCTGTGCAATTCTCTATCTTTCAATCTCCTTACTCCCTAAACACAAAAATCGTTCCGACCCCTCTTTGCAAATCATTCCAGTTGTCGTTTCGAGCTTCCGAAAATCCCAACATTTTATTTAAATTTTCTTCTTCAAATCAAATAATGACGTGCATCACAATTTAACTAGTGAAAAATAAATGAAACAAGAAAGGAGAAAGGAGAAAAACCAGCAACATATTTGATAACATTACCTTACCTTATTAATAGAAATTAAAGAAAACAAAAATATGATGCAAGGATTTGAACTTGGATCTAATAGGGCATGAGGAGTTGCTTAACAATTGAGTTAAACATAATACTTGATTAAAAATAATATATATAAATATATATATTTCAAATTATAATTAATAACTATTAATATCATAATATATTAATAATAAATTTTTAGTTTAAATAATATAAAATAAACTATTAATATAATTAATAATATTTATAAATAACAAATATTACTAATTACATTAATAATTCATTATATATTATTAATATATTATAATTTTAATAATTAATAATTATATTCAAAAAAATAATTAATAATCATAACTTATACAATATTTAAAAAAAAACATTAGATTCAATTCAATGATTATTTCTCCTGCATGTCTTTATTTTTCTTTCTTTAATTTTCACTAATTAATAAAACATGTCAAGATTTAGAACCTTCTGACTCACATACACCCAATTAAATAATAATTTCTCATTTGACACCCAAATCGAATTAATCTTCAAATTAGCACCCTTTTATGTCACATAAGGCATTTAACTTTATAAATTTAAAAGACTATAGGTGTTAATTTATATAAACATAATTAGATTGTTAACCTTTGTTTATTATTAATGTGAAATTCAAAGGTAAATATAAAAAAATAGAATACTTTTTATCTTTTGAATCTTACATTGATAACAACAAAAATCAATACTCCAATAATACTTATATAAACCAACACCAACAGACTTTCTAATATATAGAGTCAAGTTATACCTTTGCTCTATAACTCTTAATTTTTTGAACTTTTTGAAAGATGCATTTTATTAGATGCACTTTTCTGTCACGTGAGTAGAAAGCACATTTTAAGGAAAACATTTTTCGAAGGCGTTTAAAAACAGAGCAAACGCCTAACCATTTAACTAGAGATATTTTATATAATATATTATATTACCATCACAAAATAAATGATTTCCATTTAATTTGAGATTTTAACCTAAAATCAAAAGCAAAAATAATCAACCATTTAGAATATATAACTCTTAAATTAAAGACTACTATAATTTCAACTGATATGAGAATAAAAAAATTATTTATAAATTTATTATTCAATTATTTTAAAAATTAAATCTATAATAAAATATAAAATATTTAAAATTTAAAAATATTATAAAAATTATATGTTCTTTTATTTAACTAATCTAAATAGAACTTAACCCATACTTTAGTAACAATACACATAATCTACCTCGTAATTTAGACCGACTGACAACGACAAATTGAATTTTGGAAACTAAAATGCCCTCCTTTTCATTCTTTGGTTCAAGAGGGGTTTCAACTTGCAGTATCAATTATTTGCTATACTACTACAACATACTAAAATTGAGACAAAATTCTTGCATTTTTAATTGTGCAATTCATGAAATCAGCTGTCAGAAAGAGTAGATCAGCTAACAAAGCAGAAAAATGGTTACAATCATTATTGGGACCTTTTTTTTATAGGAATCATTATTGGGACCTCGTATGACCTCTATCTCATTTCAAATTAACAGAGATTAAGGTGATTTATTTTTGCAGAGGTAAAAGTATACAATTGCGGACCACATCTGCAGGCAACTACAGCAAAAGAGGTGGACCAAAAGTCTGCAGCCTGCAAGAAGAAGACTGTTTGTTTTTTAACATCTGCAGACTGCTAAAATGAACTGAAATATAAATAAACTGATTTTTAAACTTAAAAGAGTTTTGCAATACTGATTTAAATAATTTTAGTTTTACAATACTGAAATTTAAATAATCCATACAACTACAATAATAAATTATTTAAAATAAATCAATACATACTAATAAATTATTTAAAATAAATCAATTCATACAACTACAATAATAAATCAATCCATATTTTAAAATAAATCAATACATACAAATAAATTATTTAAAATAAATCAATCCATACAACTACAATAATAAATCAATCCATATTTTAAAATAAATCAATCCATACAAATAAATTATTTAAAATAAATCAATTCATACTAATAAATTATTTAAAATAAATCAATCTATATTTTAAAATAAATCAATCCATACTAATAAATTATTTAAAATAAATCAATTCATATTTTAAAGTAAATCAATTCATACTAATAAATTATTTAAATAAATCAATCCATACAACTACAATAATAAATTAAAATAAATCAATCATACTAATAAATTATTTAAAATAAATCAATCTATATTTTAAAATAAATAAATCAATACTAATAAATTATTTAAAATAAATTATGTTAAAATAAATCAATCCATATTTTATTTAAAATAAATTATTTTATAATAAATTATTTTATCATCTTGTCTTGGTTGTATTTGCGAGCCAAAGCCATCAAAGAAGGCTCAATAATCCCACCTCTCAACCTCAGAACAAGATGAAGCGTTGATTCTGCATCCAAAAAAATAAGATTCGAAGTATGTTGATGAACCGAAATGTAGAAAATATCGCTGAAAACGAAAGATGAAAAATTCAATAGATTAACCTTTCTGGATATTGTAGTCAGCTAAGGTACGGCCATCTTCGAGCTGTTTTCCGGCGAAGATGAGACGTTGTTGGTCCGGGGGGATTCCTGTGTTAGTTCGTAAAAAAAATCGATCTAAGATGTTAAGGTGAAAAGAATGGAAATTGGAATGAGGAGCAATTACCTTCTTTGTCTTGGATCTTAGCTTTGACATTGTCAATGGTGTCGCTGCTCTCGACCTCGAGAGTTATGGTCTTGCCGGTTAGGGTTTTCACGAATATCTGCATCTTCTCTGGCCTGTCTCTCCGCAAAAACAATGAGCGGCTCTAACTGTTGATTCTTTGGTTTTTGTAGTCATATTCTAGGGTTTCCTCTTTGAAGCCGAAATAGTATTAGTCCTTTTTCTTTGGGCCTAAAACATTTAGGCTTAATAAATTACACAAACGAATTTGTGAATTACGACTGGGTTTATTCCTTAAAAATTTTAGACAAAAACGTTGAGACAATATATACTATAATACATTAATGATAAAACTCTTTTTTTAAAAGAAAACATTATCATGATTCTTATATTATTTTTAACTTTAAATAGTCACAAACAATTTTATTTAGAAAACCATACCATCAAATGAAGTGTTTGAATATTAAGTAAACTTATAATCTTTTTAATTTAGTATCTCATGTATGCATATATATATATATATATATATATACAAAAAAATTAAAGATAAATTATATAGATGATCCTTTCATTGATTTTGGTCACCGATTTTTAAAAAAAAAATGATTTTGATCCCTACAAAAATCTTTTTCTTCTTCCATAAGGCTAGCACTTTCAAAGAATCCCGATAACATAACGATCAACATCTCTCCTTTTACACTCCAACACATCGAAAAAGATAGGCAACAGTCTGGGATATTCGCTGCATGTTAGTTGCCACTATGTTTCCAGCTTTGCTAAGGAAGTACATGGCATCATCGTCGTTGTCATTCGAATCAGTTCTTTACAATCATCGATTTTTCTCCTCAACATAATCTCATCTTCCCAGCAGTCAGCACTAGAGTTGCAAACTTCGAACGAAAGCTTCGAAAGATCACGAGAGACTAAGACTAGCTTGTAGGAGTAATTGGAATATGCATTCACTGTTGTAGCATGAAGTGGCCGATCGAGAGAGCCCAGATTCACCGAAGGTAGTTCACGACATGATCCTGTCACCGGATTGCATACAAAGTAATCACCGGACATATTGCGGAAACACACAAGCCCATCAGCCGCTACAACCGGGATGGAGACACATTTAGGAGAGACGGATAATCGAGTTTTTTTCCAACTTCTTTCAGCAGAGTCGAAAAATACTGATTGATTAAGATCGGGATCCACCATGAAAAACCAAGGTTCCCTTGAAGGAATCCTAGAGGAAGCCAGCTTAAAACCTTCAGAACCAGAAACCATTTCATCTCTTGCACACTGAACGGAGGCGAAAGAACGTCGAGGTAGGTTACCATGAAAGGCCCTTTCAAAGAGGTCGTCAGTGAGCTCATCCAAGGAGAAATTCAACATATCATTGTCTTCTTGAGGCAACTTTCTCTTCTTAGAAGACCTCAAAATGCAGCCATTAGCCTTCTCCATTGGAAGATTATTTAAGAAAATAACTTGCAATGATAAAGAGAGGACAACAACACTATTAATGAGAGATCACTATCACATATAGCATCATACAGATGAATCAAAACCCAAATTCCTTTTCAAATTTATCCACATCGTAGAGAATATATGAAACGATACAAATAAGGCTTGAATATCACATCAATTAAAAATTAGGAAAAATTTGACAGCCTAAGCATTAAAGGTCCACACATGACTAGAAAGCACTAAGAGGCTCTTTCCCCCCCCCCCCCCCCCCCAAAAAAAAGGTGTCCAACAATAACACGAATCAGTTCTACCCAATTTATCTTCAATGAAGAGAGTAAATTCTTCAAGAAAGTTACAAATTTACCCCTCTTATAGATTTAATTCACCTAGTAGTAGTAGAAGTAGTAATAATTTATCACTTAATTTTTGAATCAGTGACCAAATTGATTAGACCAAAAACATAAGAGACTATCTATATAGTTTACCCTAAAATCTAATATACTTAACATTTTAATTTTAGAATTCAATTTAGATAATAATAAGAGATTTTTATTTTCTATCTTCTTAAGTTTTTATTTTTTTAGGGTGCCTACTAAGCTTTCATCTTTTGTATTGTTTCTAAATGTCCTTTAGGTTTTTTAATTTAGTTAACAAAATATTCACAATAATAATTTATCATTTTCAATAAAAAGAGAAAAATATAATACAGGATAACCTAAAAAAATACTGGTGCACATTATATAAAATTCTTTTAATATCATGCTCACAGTCATACATTCACAATATTGATTGCGAAGGAGAAGAATAATTAGAATGGTGAAATAATTAATTTCTTTCAGCACAATAAAAAATAATCATTTAAATATTGTGTTAATTACCCTGGCGGGGAAGATCAAGGAGACAACAATTCATTGGGGCAAGAATTCTATCTAGATATCGAAAACATTACCGCCATTAAACAAGTTGGAAGTTCTCATTGGTGAAAAGGCCAAAAGACCCATAACCGCATCCTCCACATTCGAAAACCAAGGATATTAAATGGTAGTTCCAAAGATTGTCTTTCCAGATAAAAGATTAAAATCCATTCAAGAAACTAAATGAGCAGCAAGAGAAATGGACAAAACAAGCTTGACTGTAAAAAAATTTGTTCATTAAAGAAAGATAACTCCGAGCATCACTGCAGTAGTAGATATGAAGCAGAGAATCACAGCCTTCTTCCACGTCTGCCACCCTTTCTGCGGGTGCTGTCCGTGGGAATGGGGGTAACATCCTCTGAGGAGAACAAATGGATACATGTCAGTGTACGTACAGGAGTTAAAGGTGACTGAACTCAATAGAACAATTTGCGAAATGAAAGGATGATGGGAATGCACCTATTCGGCCAATTTTCATGCCTGAACGAGCAAGGGCTCTAAGTGCTGACTGGGCACCAGGACCTGGGGTCTTGGTCTTGTTCCCTCCGGTAGCACGTAGCTTTATATGAAGGGCAGTAATACCCAACTCCTGCAAATAACAAACACGAATTGGCATTAGCTCACTACATATTAACTATATACTGAACCATAATTCATAGGGTAGGCTATAAACCTTGCAGCGTTGAGAAACATCTTGGGCGGCAAGCATAGCTGCATAAGGGGAAGACTCATCCCTGTCGGCTTTCACCTTCATACCCCCTATTGTTTGGAAAATGCAAGGGATAAGTTGGGAGAATATTCTTCATATGAGTAAACTCCATACCAGAACATTAATATTACCACATATTGCAATGTGTAATTAACATCCTTTTTAAAATTTGGCCTTTGAATAACCAGTCAGTTTCCTCTGAAAAACCGACAATTTCAAAGGCCAGCAATGGTAATAACACAAAATCCAAGATAGACGAATCACTCATTTTCTAACAGAACCATAAACCATACCAGTGATGCGAACCATTGTTTCCCTTCCAGACAAATCAGTCACATGCTGCGAAATTTCAATCAGAGAATATCAGGCAGAATTTGCAGAAAAACAAAATCAACGTGAACAGAGGGTGTTATAACTTACAATAAATGTATCATTAAATGAAGCAAAAATGTGAGCCACCCCAAAAACATACTCGCCCTCTCTAACAGCAGGTCCAAGGGTAGTATTCTCCTCCTTGGGCTCCCTAACTTTTCTTCTTGACTACAAAATAACCCGAATCAAAGAATACGTCAGCAATATTGATATGCACCCAGGTCTTAATCTAGCAGTCCTATATTAACCAGAAAACCCCAAAAACCTCATTCTCATAGACTCCATTCAATTCTGAAACAAAAATCGTTCATAGAGAGTGCCAATTGAATAACACCAACCCGGGAGCTCATAAAATTAAGTAGTTATGGCAAAACTACATCACTAATTTAATCCGTAAAATTCAAATATTTTCTATGCCCAAATCCTAACCTTTTTTCCCAGCAGCCAAACAATATTTAACTTGTAACCGAGAACTGAAAATAGGTGTGAAGAGGAAATTACCATGGCTTCTTGCAAAATGATAGAGAACTCGAAAACTAGGGTTTAAAGAGAGCACGTTTGCTGAGCTTCAGCCTCCAACGACTCTAGCTTTCGAAGAGATATAAAAAAACCGGTTACTATCATTTTTATAGTTAGGGTTTTGTTAATCCCAACCGTAAATGACGAAAATGGCCTGACTAGAATACGAGTTGCGTAGTGGTAGATGCGTCATTTTGATATTCTTCTTTTGATATGTAATTTGTAAATACTAGATAAGTAGAAATAGTAAAACTAAACTAATTTTAAAAATAAAATGAAATCATGACATTTAATAAAAATATTTTCTTTAGTAAGTAATATTTAAAAAAATAATAATTATAATACTATTAGCAGGAAATAATTTTGGATACAATAATATAAAAAAAAGTATAATAGTCGTAATTAAAAGATATCGTCATAGTATTTGAGGAGACAAACTGGGCCAAAGTATGAGCGGTTTCATTAGCCGACCGACGAATTGAAAAATACTAAAACATGGATGTAAATCTAATATATGACGTGCTTCAGATATAGCGAACCGAATAGTGACAAACCTATATCACAATGAAGTAGTTGATCGACCATATTGGAAGCATCACTTTCGAGAATTATGTGTGAATCCCAACTCAACATCCAGCCGCAAACCTAAACATATTGCATGTGCTTCAATTAAACTAGGATTGTATGAGCCTAAAATACAGGTGGCGCAGTTGGAAAGTACAAAACCAGCAGAATCTCGTGCAATAACCCCAACGGTCAATGGTCTAGATTGAAGTGAACAAGGCCAGTCAACATTAACTTTAACCATACCCTGCAGAGGTTTGCACCAATGAATCTGATGGGAGCAGTTGAAGTTAGGGATAGTGATGTCTCATCATAGGCCACCTGCAACGCTTTACTGAAAGCTACAAGGTTCCATGCAGGTAATGTACGCGCCTCATGCAGATAAATATTGCGTCGATATCACATTTGCGAGAGAAGACTCTAAAAGAACTGTAAAGGTACTAATGTCGACGGTAAAAGAGAGTACAACCAAGTGCCACAAGAAGGAAAATTACCTAAAACCAAGGTGAACACATGAAGAACCTCTGAGCAATCCCTTAATGCATGAATCATTGTTTCTCCAGTCAATCCGCACATTGGAACACAACTATCTAAGGCCATCGACAATAAATAAATGATGTTTCACTGGCAATGCCTCATGAATAGCCCTCTATCCGAATAATTGCACCTGAGGTAAAGTGTGAAGGCGAGAAAGAGATAGCCACAAGTGAGAGATGATCGAGATAGCCAGACATATCCCGAGCGAATGGAGTATGGGCCTAAAGAGTATACACTCCAAACCATCTCCTCAAAAGGAAAATTGGAATATAATACCGACGTCCGAGGAGAGAGAACACCAAAAAGATTGGAGTGGAGTTCGAGGATGGTTCATTATCTCACCTATTACTTTTACCCATTAAAACTTTCTCATTTCATTTCCCCCGAAACCTTGCATAAGCCTCCATAAATTAGATTAAAATATATTTTTTCTTAGAAATTACTCTTCACCATGAAAATATAGTTTTCAATATATCACCTTGAAAATGTGATTGTAGTGGAAAGATTATAGGATAAGCAATTGGCCAGTAATATTCAAAGACTTAACTAAAAAAATAAGGGTTTAATTGTTTTTTTTTACTTTGGTGTTTAATTCTTTTATTAGAACGATAAGGATCCTGACTCCCCAAAATGATTATAAATTATATGATATATAGTAATATAATATATTACAAATAAAATTTTCAAGAAAATCGATAATAAACTATGTAAGATTCTCTTAGTATTTTTGTGTCGCGCCTTTTTTTTCTTTGATTTTTATTTAGTCGGTGGTGGAATTAATCTTAATGTTGGTTGCCGATCGCTTGTGATTATTTTCTATTGTTTTTTCATACTATGTCCTTTATTTTTCTTTTTTTCTTGAGTTTTTTTTTTCAATTTTGAATAAGAATATATGGCCTTGTGACATATTTTTCTTTGCTATTGTTACATGCTTTTTCTATGCTATGTGGCACATTCTTTATGACTTTAGGTACGTTTTTTGTATACCTTTGTGATCGTTTTGGTGCTTGCACAAGGACCCTCATGATATTTATTTTTTGATTGATTTGTCAGTAGTAAAAAAGTCAAATTCACTCTTTGATAAAAGGTTGTTTATGGATATAATCAAAATTGTATAGCGAAACATCTTGCTAAATAGTTTGGTTCGTCCACCACTCCTTTATAACTATGAGAGCCTATAAAAAATTAAATATAAAAATTGAGAACGCCAAAATTTAATTTATCTATGTTTTTAAAATAGTTCGAGTGATTGTAGGATAATAATTGTGCTTAATATTTTCTTAATCATAGACAACACAATGCAGATGTAGTTGTTCTAACTCGGGACCTCAATGAAAAATAACACTCTCTTTAATAATTGAGACCACTAAATGAGTCTCATTTATCCAATTTTAAAATTAAGAAGAATTAAAAAAAATTAGAATTAAAATATTTAGTTGAGACCACGGCCCTCTAACCATATATATAAATAACTCCATCCCTTCTATTAGGAAAATATTATGTTAAACATCGTATGTAATATATATATTAAAAATAATATATAAAAATATTATAGTAAAATACTTTTCAAATTTCAAGTACTATAAACCAGGTTACATCTTTGTATATCTAAACACATTTACATATAATTATTTAAAACATTTATATATAATTATTAAAAATTTAAAGCATGAAAATATAATATAATTAAAATAATATAATGATGCATTTGTTACTGAAAGATGGCTCAATTATGCGTGGTTCTTATTGATTCATAATGTTGAGATGGTGATTGTGATTGCTTGTGACGATTTATACGTTTTAATTTAAACAAAAGGTCATTAGCTAGAAGATCGAAGAATATGATAACAATAGAACTCATGCATAATGACTTAATAGGTCTAAAAATATCATATGAGTTTTTGATATGATGAAATTAAAGCTTTAATTTAATATTAATTTTATTATTATTATTATTCATTTTATGATCCGTAATTGTCATGAATGACTATCCAAGTAGTAAGGAATTGGCTTATGTGTGTGCTGTTGTAGCTTTCTGAACCACATAGCTTGCATGATAAACCCTAGGGAAATAAAAGTACGAGGTTGATTTGATTGTAGTTTTCCAGTCAATCAATTTTGAGTTAATCTTATCATGATTCTTAATGCTATCGTTAGATTTAATATGAAACATTACCGTATTCAGTTGTTTGATGATAATTTTTAGTCTAAATACTTAGTTTGATTGAACTGTATTAAGAAATTTATACTTATTATACATTTTCCGAATAAGTTGACTAAATATTTGAATACGAAAAATTAATCTCCAAGTCTATAATCAAAATCATGGAATTTACACCTTGTCTATTGTGCTTGAATTTAAAGACTAGATTAGAAAGTTTAATTGTGGGTTTAGAATTTTAAAAATTTATTAAGAAATTTGTTAAACGATGATATATAATGAGTGCTAATTTTATTTAAAGAGTATCAATTATTTTTATAGTGGTATTGATATTAATTTAAAATTATATTAATTTTACTTATAATAATTCCTATACAAAAATTCCAAAAAGTTTTTGGGTAATCTAAGCTTATCGAATTGCTAAATATGTACGAGATAGCGATTCGCTTAGTAGAGGTAATCTAAATCTAAGTTTAGCGGGCTTCTTTTAGATAAGCCGTAAAGACTTTAAGAAGAAAAAGGGAAATCCCTTTTCATGTGGAGGATAAGAGAAAAAAAATTCCCCTTTCGTGCATGGGTGGCATCCCTATGCATATGTAACTGTTGGGGGTGATTGGTGGGATTTTTAGTGAATCTCATTGACATTTATTATAAATGTATAATAATATATAAGAAAATGTAATAACAGTGTCCTTTAAATATGTTTTAAAAATAAACCCTGTTATTTCTGTTTGCTAAAAAAATAAAAGATATTTTTCCTAGTCGAGCCTTCAATATAATATATGTCCCATCTTGTAATTTAAGTAGAGCCGGGTCATTGACTTTTAACATTTCGGTTTAAAATGCAAGTAGAACCGGGTCAAACCGTACCACAACTGGTAGTACAACATGAAATGGCAGAACAAGCTCCTGATAGTCGTGCTTTTTTTACATAGCAAGAGCCATTCAGCGATTCCCCAAATCTTAGAACTACCCAGGACGAGGAATAAATTCAATGATAATAACCCGCCTTCATTCGTTACGCAGAGGAGCAAGCTTCGAGCTTAGGAAGGAGACTTCGCCAAGCGTCTGCAACACTATTTGCCAGTCGGGCCTGTCCCTTGGCAAATTCATGAAAAGCAATCCCCATGTCTTGAGTTTTTTGTTCCTGGAAACGTACAATCTCTTCATTCATCAGTCGAACTATTGTCTCAAATCTTCTTGTTGCCTCCTCACTCGCTGCCTTCAACTGCAACCATAAAACTAATTGTTAGCGGAGGTAAAAGCAATAAAGGCCTAAATAGGCATAAAGTGAAAGCTTGGACGGAATGACTTGCCTCCTTGTATTCATGCTCAGCTTCTCCCACCCTGTCAGAGCGTGTTAGCATGAGCTTGTCACTGCAAACATTTGACCTCGAATTACAAACCTTATAAGAAATGCTAGACGTTTTAAAGATTGTCCAAGTAAGCCGCTTGTGCAATTATTGTACAAACAGAACACAGCTAGTGGAAACAAAAGATAGCTAAAAGGGTGGGGAGGGGACGCGTAATGTACGGATAACCAGAAGCATACAGATTTATCTCCTTCAACTTCATTGTTTCAGCTAGTTCACATTGTTGCCTGAATGCATTGGCTCTCTCCTCTATTGTAGCCTGTTATGAAACAAAAATGTCAAGAGGATTGGCAATGAAATTGTTACCAACCATCCACTTCAATATTATCATAAGATGACAAAGGAGCTCAGCTACGAAGATTAGTTCCATCAGCGATTCCACTTCCACAATACAATTTCTTTTTCAGTTAACTATTTCAGTATTGCAAGTTAAAATATATAGATCAAATGTTCAACATTTTCTCAAGGAATGCTATACACTGCAAAGAATAAATGTCATTTAGAACAAAGAGGGCAGTCCAACTCACCTTTATGGATTGAACAGCACGAACATAATCCTTCAAGGGTTCTTCAAAATTCATTAAGAGTTGATGGGCCTGTAGTCAAATTTATGATGGTGAAAATGTAAGGCTATCCATATTATCCACTTAAGGAAAAGCTTGGGCATCATATATAAGGCCACAATTATGCAGGCTTTCAAAGATAGAAGACAAACTTCTGAAAGAAAAGGCTCAGCATTAAAAGACAGCAGCTTACCTCCTTCTGCAGCTGTGCTGATAGCAGCTCAGATTTAGCCCCAAGATCAGAAAATGCCTTCCCAAGAGCTTGTCCTTCACAAGCACCGAGAAGCTTGGCTGCCTTACCAAAATCAGATAGTGATTGCCCCAACTCTGGGAATAGTCAAACAAAAAAAAATGTTCAAATTTTTTTCAAACCAAAAGGAGATAAACACTTGATAAAGATATAAATGAGCAGCATAAAGTGTTCAGAGCCTCAAAATTTTCCTTACCTCTGTGTCTCTTTACAAGACGATATGCATGCCTCTGAGCTTCAGCCAAATGGTTTTCAAGCTCAAAAACATAGTGTTTAAGTTTCTCATATTCGGGATTTGATTCTTCAACAGGTTTTTCCTTTCCGAGGACAACATCACTGACCTTAGACTGTACATCCTGTTAAGTTTTTCAAGACTAGGAATTTGAATACTATAAACATGTCATTCAATCCAGAGTAACCAGCTTCAATAGAAAAAACATAAAATCAGCTAAATATTACATGTTTAAGCAGTAACAAAAGAAAATGAAAACACATTATAGAAAGCAAGTAGTGAGTTACCACTGTTCTAAACTAAACCTTCAAAAAGGAAGAAAGAAAAGAAGGGAAAAAAGGAAAAAAGGAAAAAGTTATTTATGAAAGATCTATAAGGTCAATTAGATGTCTTCTCACCTAAAACTGTGGCCATGTGTTCCTGAAGTGTGTTTGGAATTGATAGTTCAGCTCATTAAAGGGAAACTGAACCTTTAATTCATAAAGGGAGACTGAAATCTTAGACCTCGTTAAAGAAAGACTTTAAATAAATTGGACACTACCATAGAAAGGAAATAAATAAACAGAATTAAAACTATAATCAAGAAACCTAAGGAAAGAAATAAAATCACAATCTAGCATTAATTAGAGAACCGAACAAATGACCTTCCCTGATATAGGTTCGGCCCATAACATTACTCCCCTCCTGTAGTAAAAGCTTGTCCTCAAGCTCGTAGTTAGTATAAACTTGGCGAAAGGCACCTTCCATTATTAATGGTCAAAACTGATAAGGGCAGTGACCTCCACAAACTTATTTTCAATAATCAGCACCATTGAATAGATCTCTTCAAATTTATCCAATCGAGTTTTATCACGTGTTAGTAAGAGAAGCTCCCGCTTCTCTCTAGGGTCCAGGTGTTTTAAAAAATAAAAGTGGTTTCTCCTCCGACAGTGTTTCGTCGTCCGCTGCCGCCGTCTGCTCGGACCACCGTTTGACGCCGTTTTTTCCTGGGATGGTCGTCTGCTCAAGGTGAACACAGATCTGGACCTTTTTTTTGCGAAAAACTGTGTCATTCGTCGCAGATCTACACTCCGTCAACTGCAGATTTACGCCGCCTCCCGCCGGCCGAGTTCGACTCCGCCACATTACCGATCGCAGCGCCTTATTGCGACCTAATCTCGAGCTTTCTAGTGTCGAGCATCGTTAAACAACTGAGAAATCACCATGGAACCCCAACCCCCGTCTCAGCCCAGCCGTCTTCGAGGGTTTGTTTCAGCTGGTGTGAGGCATTCTACCGTCCCTCCTTCATCATTTAGGATTTCACAACTCCTTGAACCAGACAGCAGTGGTGCAGCCGGTGATTTTCCTATGGAGTCTGCCAAGGAACTAGAAGCGAGAGTAAAGGCTCTAAAAGCATTAGTGGCAGATTTGAACAAGCGGGTAAAGGATTTAAAAATGAAGGAGAATGCAGTTTCACCAGGCAATTTTCTCAGAACCTCTGGATCCGCCGGTGCAGCCTCTTCTTCTTACTCCAGTAAAGACATACGTGAAAATGAGAAAGAAAAGGAGAGGTCAAAGTTTCGGAAACGGAACAAACGAGTTTTTACCAGACGCATGCTGGCCGGATTGAGGCAGTTTGGTAACTTCTCAATTCCCCCGCATGCTGCTAGGAACGATGTTCTGGCAGCCTTGGCACGTGAGGCTGGTTGGACAGTTGAGCCCGACGGCACCACTTACCGACACTCTCTTAAGCTCCAAAATCAACAAAATTTGGGAACTTATTCAGCGAGGTCAGGTGATAGTCCATTATCATCCAATCCTTTGAAGAAGTGCTTACAAGAAGGGAAACATAGAAATGGAAAGCTGTCTTTAGCACACGTAAAGCCAGCTCTTTCTGTTGCCATGTTGATCATAATGGATCCAAGGAGATCAATTCGAAAGGGTATTCCAATATAAAATTGTCCGAAGTGGTGGGAAGTAGAAGAAACGGGTTTAATAATCAGTCAAAGGAAGGCCAACCAAATTTCGTCAATGGGTTCAGAAAGGGTTACACGATTTTTATCGATAACCTTCCAGAGAAGATCCATTTGGAAGAGACTTGGATCTATATTTGGCTCACATGGTCAAGTTATTGATGCATTCATTCCCAAAAAAAGAAACTCGAAAGGGCGCTTTGGGTTTATTCGCTTTGCTACAATTGAAGAAGCAAGGACAACGATTTCTAAGATGAATGGTAATCATATTTACGGCAACAAAATTAGAGTCTCTCTGGCTAAATATAAACCTAGACAGTCTTTCTGGCGAAAGTCCTCGACAGCTGTTCAAAGTAAGTCTGGGATGGAAGATCTTCCGAGGTTTAAACACTGTGAAGTTGAGGGTGCTGTGGACGAAGATAAACTTCAAGTGTTGAACAACTGTCTTGTTGGGTGGTGCAAGAACTTTATCAAGATTGGTAATCTTGCTAACCAAATACAAGCCAAAGGACTAGCGGGTTTCACGCTAATGAGAGCTGCTGGAAATGTAGTTCTAATGGTTTTTGAGGACTCGGATTTGTTGAGAAGCGTGAAGGAAGATAAGTTAGAGACTCTTGCAGAATGGTTTTCCAGAGTGGAAACTTGGTCAGAGAGTCTTGTGGTGGAGAGTCGGCTCGTGTGGTTCGTTTGCGAAGGTATTCTTTTTCACGCTTGGAATTGGGATACTTTCAAAAACATAGCTATTAAGTGGGGAAAGTTAATAGCAATTGATAACAGTTGTGAGTTCCCTTCGTCTTTTGACCGGGCTAAAATTCAAATACTCACAAATGCTCAAGGGAGAATTGATGAGTTGTTAGAGTTGAAGGTCGGGGATAATTTATTCAAAATCTTGGTGCATGAAGTTGACCCTTCCTTCAAACCTTATTCTTGAGTCCCTAAAGATTGCGATATCTCTTTAGAACTTGTTCCTCCAATTGGACTGTGATTGTTTGACAGCTGTATTCAGAGGCGTTTTTTAGTTGTGGTTGTAATTGTTGGTTTTGTTTTGCTATGTATCTTACATCTTGAGGTGTATTTTAGAAATAGGGTTATTGTCTTAGGGGCTTTTTGTTTGAAGATGTAAGATTTTTAGGTGATATGGTCTGTACTGGTTTTTATTCCCCTTTAAGGGTTCGGTGTTACCACTTGTACTTGGTCTTCTATTTAATAAAATATGAGGTACTCTTTTCTCCCTTCCAGTGTTCTTCAACATACTTCTAAGTATGTGGAAGAATATGAAGGGAGTTTTTAATGAGACCTCCAACTTCTATCAAAAAAAAAAAAATTAGATCTCTTCAAACTTTGTACCAACATTCAAAATTTTCAAATATACAGCAACAGGTTTAGATTTATCAACTTCCACAATATAGAATAGAGGATTTTTTTTGGATTGGGATTAACAAAATAGGTGAGCAGTGGTATATGAGTTTAGGAAGGGTTAATAAATAAGACAAGCAAGTGAAGTTGGTTGTGATTGCCATGGTTTTTGTCGAGATGAGTTCAGGGGGACTTGATGCATAGGATAAGAAAGAGAGATCGATAGAGGCTTCCATGGTTTGAGTTTGTTCAGTTGAAGGGTCAGCATTCATATCAACCATAGAGTTACTAACATATTTACCAACAGTTATTTTATCCATTCCTTCACGCATTTGATCAAACGATTGGGTTTTAGTTTCAGCAACACTTTCATCAATATTCTACAACGTAGCATCTAATATATGTTTTATCTTTGTTTGCGTATGCTCAAGCTTCTTGTGTATTTCTGCTCACCATTTTGCTGACCTTTGTTCTACCATTAATGATAATCATTGGCTCTAAATACCAAATTGTTATGATCGTGTGTTTGGACTTGATAGTTCAGCTCATTAAAAGGAGATGAAACCTTTCAGCTCATTAAAGGGAGACTAAAACCTTATCTATCTTTAAAGAGAGACCTGGATTTCTTTAGGGTTTTGGATAGAAATTCTGCTCGTGTTTTATTATTCCATATGTCCCTTTAAACAAGACCAGTCTAAATATATACATTGGAAAACTATTCTAGAAAGGAAATAAATCAACAAAAACAAAAGTTCAATCAAGAAAATACAAGGAAAGAAATAAAATTTCAATCTAAGCCTTCATTAGAGAATCAAAATATATGACCTTTCCAATACAGATTCAGTCCATATCGTGTTACCAGATTGAATTTCTAGAAGGATTTTTTTGTGACAAGAATTTTTGTTTATAAAAATTTAAAAACCAAATCATATACTACAGAACAGAATTTGTTTGGATAAAAATTGACATCTCACCAATCAGTATAAATTTTATTAGCACTGTCTACTACACATTCACTTACACTAACTCATTATAAGGTCGTGAAAAACTTATTTACCTTGAAGATCTGCATCAAATCAGCAGGCTTCTTTTTGAAAATACCAGTCTCATAAGATCTCAGTCTCTCCATTGTCTGAAAAGTAGCCACAAAGTTAACATCAATTTCTTGTTTAAAAAGCATCAAATACAAGCGTGTGGTCATAAATTAAAGCGATTTGTTGGCAATTGTCCATAGAACAAGATAATTTACATTAATAAGAATGGCAAGATATAGCATGAATGAAGACATGACAAGACAATTTATTGCCAGTTGTCCCAATAACAAGATAATTTACAGAAGTAAGACAAGTTCCAGCATGAAAGGAAGACATGCCAAGTAATTAAATCACAATGCTTCCTTATCAACATATATTACCCAAAGAAAATCCATAATATCAGCATGGTCCCGGACGGAGCAATAGTGTTACTATCTTCGACAAGAATTCATATAGAAATAAAAGAGCACCTTACCAACAGTGTCTCAAGGAATGTAGAGCTGAACATTGCAATAAAGAAAAATGTGAATAGATTGTTTATCCCTTATCAAAGAATTGTTAAACTTGTACAATTTTATAATAATATAAAAATTCAACACAAATTACATGTTTATAACAACAAATTTACTTGGCAATTTTATAGAACAGTAGTCACCATATCCAAACTGAAAAATGAGTTTAAGAACTTTAAATGAAAAATCACACTTAGTTATAAGTTATAACACTCGAAATAAGAAAAATCCTAAAGGGATAAATAAGACAATAGTAATTCTAACATGCACCAAAAAAAAACTGAAGGATTCAAAGCAACAAAACCTAAAAGCACCACCTCTTCATCCGCCTGCAAAAAGGTTCTAAGATCTTCACTCTGTTGAAGCAAATTATGAGAAGCAATCCGATTAACAAATATGTCCAGTGCTTGGCGTCTCATTTCAATAAATTCAGCACTAAACCGAAATTTCTCTGCAACAGTGACAAGGAAAAACTTGGATTACTTCCTAGTTCACTCACAGGCAATTTTACACTCAAAACGCATTGATCAAAAACTTATTGCTATAAACTAATCATAATTAAGGCAAAAAGGGGTTGAATGTGTTTACCTACAGCACTCTTTTCGGGAAGAGGAGGAATGAAAATGCCTTTGTACTTCTCGAAAAGGCGATCGCGTAACCAAATAAAATCACTGTAACGCCTAATAACAATCTTTTCCGGGCCTTGGTATTCTGGGAAATTGGTCTGTCCAAACAGTTGAATTTCCCCAAAAATACAATTTTTTTTTTACCAAAACTAAAAAAAGGGGGGGATATAAAGCAATTTTGATTAGTAGCAACGATTACCTTGGTGATGACACGATAGGATATGTAAGCTTGGACGCCATTTCCTAATTTAACGGGATCCGTCACGGAAACTGACAGATATGGCTGAGACGATGGAGATCTGGGGCTCTGCGACGACCCGATACGCTTCTTTGCTGCTCCATTTTTCACACAACCAAGAAAAAAAAAGATCAATTAATTAGTATAACAATAATCCGAAGGAAAAGACAGGTAGGTAGTGGTAGAGCTGTAATTATCGTGGGAATTATAGTTTATTTCGGAATTGTGGACTGTGGAGCCCGGTGAATGCAGATGAATTTATGGTGTGTTTGGTTCACGAAATATAAGATTATTAGTGAAGATGTAAGATTATCAGAGAATAAGATTATTGTAAATGTTGATTAGTTTAACAAGAATATAAGATCATCATGTTTGGTTAAAAGAAAAAAAGAGTATTGAAATGTATATTTGACCAAATTATTCGTATTATATATTTATTTTTTTAACAAATTGAAAAATATTTATATATTTTCTTTAAAAAATTAAATTTATAAAACTTATATATATTTTTTTACAAAATTGAAAATATAAAAATGTTTAATGAAAGGGTGAAATTTTATTTTAACCTCTGAACTTCATATAAAATTTTAATTGTAGATTTTTTTGTAAATCTAAAATAGTTTAAGGATAAATTTGTAATTTAACCTTCGTAGAATTTTTATTATTCAATGAAAGAATAGATATTTTTTAAAAAATTAAAGGCATTTTAGTCCAAAACGCCGGTAATCCAACGATACCTAAGGAAATGAAGATAATGACATTTCGGTAATATATCCCAAAAAATCTACTATTAGTAATCAAACATTACCGTGAATGAGATTCACGGCCAACCAAACATGAGAATGTGAATTCCATTGTATGAGAATCTCACATTCCTTGAACAAAACAACCCCTTAATGTTTACTTCTTTGACCAGAAGAGTCGATTATATTTTTCAAGTTGAATCGATCTATATTTGAGAAGATAAAATTTTTAATAGAAGTATGTATTTGGATAAATATATTTATTTATTTAGAAAAATAAGTGCATATCTGATTAAAAAGAAATATATTTGTTTTATCTAAATTTAGTTTTATAGTTTTGCCTTTTTTTTATCTAATTAAGTTAATAAATATTTTAAGATTCAATTTTATACGTAAAGTTTTTTGTCAATTAAGTATATGAATTTATCTTTTTGATTTAATTTAATATTTAAATTTATTTCTTTTTATCTTATCAATACTTACATTAAATGATTTATATTAATTATTTAAAATTAAAGTCAAACTCAGGCATTTAATTTAAAAAAATATTAAAATTAATTTTTTTTAAAAAAAGTCAAATTTAGAACAAAAAATTAACTAAGATAATGATTTGGAAAAAAGAACGACTCATATAGAGTGCTGCAAAAATTATTTGATGAGATAGTGTAAATGCTAGGGGTGTATTCGGTTCGGTTCGGTTCGGTTTTTTATCAAAAATTGAATTAAACCGAAATAAACAGTTTTTCAATATTTAAACTGAAACCGAATAGTTAAAAATTGAAAAAACCGAAACCGGTTTTATCGGTTCGGTTCGGTTTTTTTAACGGTTTGGGTTTTTCGGTTCGGTTCGGTTTTTTGATTTTTCAATGAAAAAATCACTTGAAACTATAATTTTTTTTTACAAAAATTGCCTATTCGGTTCAATATGGAACAAATGGGTTCTATATGGAAAACCCGAACCGAACCGAATAAAAAAAATAAAGCCTTTAAACCGAACTAAAAATCGAACCGTTTAAAACCAAATCGAACTAAACCGAACCGTTTTACTCAGTTCGTATCGATTTTTCGATTTTCTCGGTTTCATTGCTCAGCTCTAGTAAATGCTATAATGTCGGTAGGAAGTTATTCGGGTTATTTGGCTTTTTTTAGAAAGATACATGAAATACATTACGTCTTTGGAATAACGCAATACGACATCTTCCCCAAGCTATATACAATTCGATATTCAAGATTCTAAGAACCGAACAATCCAGATGTCATCAAGTCATCCAGACATCTTCTAGAGGTCACGAAATTATCCAGACGCTTTCCGATAGGTATCGTAGCAAGCACCCTGACATCTTCCCTAAGCTATATACAGTTCGATATTAAAGATTCTAAGAACTGAACAATCCAAAAGTCATCAAGACGTCTTCTAGAGATCACCAAATTATCCAGACGCTTTCCGATAGGTATCGACAAAATAAATTTTCATGTCCCTAATATAAACAAATTCTTCTTCCCATTGCATTATCTAAGAAATTTGACCAATTTAAAACCAATCTATATATATATACCCTCTAAAATGTCAGATAGAACATTAAATCAACCTAATTGGATTATTCAATTTAATAAAAGGAGTTTAAATGTTAGAAAATGTTTTTAATGTTAAATAAGCAATAGTTTAATTAATAACTATACATGTTTAATTTAATGACATGATCGCATTAATAAATTAATTAATATTTCGCCATTTATAGAAATGACTGAAAAAGAAATCAAAAACCCATGTACAACGGTTAAAACCCCATTGTTGTGAAGACGAGGAAGGAATATCAAAATACAAGGAGAAAAACAAGTACAAGTAAAGCTAACACTGGCGTCAAAGGTACACATTAATTAAGATTTTTACAAAATGAAAGAGTTTTCGTTCATTTCCTTACCAAATGGAGGGATTAGATCCCCCCGTGATAATATGAGGAACGGCTTTTATCACCAATCTTCCAGGCTAGCACGGTGAAAACACAAGACGGTGCAGACAAATATGATGAACGATGTAAATTCGATGAACATTGCACCAGTTGCAATCATATGAGCATGCCTAAGAATAATGGGAATTGCAATGCTTCCAACAGCAGAAGCTCCTGTCAGGAATTTGGCAGCATCTATCCAACTGCAATGAAATGAACAAGACGGGAAATTGAGGAACTACTTCTACCAGGAATTCCAACACCGCATTCCCAAAGCAACCGGGGATTTTTACGATAATTAAACAATCAGGGAAAACACTGGAAAAAAATCAGTTTTAAAAGCTTATATTTCTACTCACCCCCCACCATCTCGGCTTGTTAGAAACTGAGTCGATCCACCTCCAAAGAATAAACAAGGCATTGGCACCAGGACATACATAAGAGCTGTGAATAGTAGTAGTAGATTAGCACCATCAATCATTTAAAGGTAACCAGCCCAATTTATAAGTGGTATGATCAACTTGTTAGACCGCTCACCTGAAAGCATTGGCCACCAGTTGTTGTATAATGCACAAGCCTGAAGCAAAAGTTAACATAATTGGGAGCTGAAGTACTCAAAATTTAAGTGAATTTAGAATAATGCAATCCACAAACAAGTACTTTAAGCTCTTAAAACGGTTGGATTGTTGACGGATAGATGAAACTTCTTCGTCGTAAACTCAATTTTATATGGAAAAATCAGAATAGCAAATTAATACAACAAATCCTTTATTAACAGGAGGAAAAAAACTGCATCCTCCAACCAAACCCCTTCAGAAAATGCTTGCTTTTCTTTTTGCTTTACCTGAGGCAGAACTAGTAGAGATACCCAAAAGCAAATCATCTCTTCCATAACAGCAATTAAAGAAAGAGTGGCAGGAGTGCCAGTTAAATCAAGTATTAGTCAGTCAATGTTCTCAAACCACATCAGATCCACGGAATAATAAAGACCTTAAATACAAACAAGCTCAACTTGAAGAAATTCTGGCTTTTAGCATCATTAAACCCTTCCAAATGAAGATAATATAACACATACTATATGTTTTCCACAAAGAGCTAAAGACATATTAGCAAGTACGATCTAATTTAATAGGTGACCCCATGAGAGAGTTCACTTACACTCTAATCAAACAGTGCCATATTGACATATATTTATATGAGATGTTTTTGAGGATGAAGTTGCTAAGTGCAGCCTAGAGACGGGCAGCATAGTTTCACAAGTAAACCCCATTCTACATCAGGTGAAAGAAGTACTCCCACAAGGTCCATAAATTCCATCTTGGCACAAAAGAAGACAGCTCAATCATACAAACCTCCGAAAAATTCAGGATTTCACTCAAATAGTTGATAGCATCACTAAAGACAAGTGTAAGACCATTGAGCTTACTAGATAGTTGAACAAGATGGTGTCAGCACATATGTTCAGTTTACTTGATCTCATGGCACTACCTTAACCCCTAAACTAATTAAACCTTAGACAGCTGTCATAGATCAGGAACATGAATAAAACTCTTACAGATAGCCTACTGATTTATTTAGACAGCCTAACAGAGTTTCACTAATGTGATAACCCTTCATTCATGAGTTAACAATTACACTGCTATTCCAAAGCTGTCTTTTCCCCAAATTTGTTGCCAATTCACTTTGGAACAGCCTCAAAAAAGATCTCTACTAAAGAAAAATGCTCCTTTCAGAAACAAGACATGACCACTCATCAATACTAGCACATTAAATCCATTAACACGAGATAATTCACATTGCATCTTCTCAAGATACGAAGCACGCTAACAGGATACGTGTGGATATCATCTGAATGATGTAATATCATGAATTGCAAAACATGGATAAGTTCTTCGAATCAAAACTGCATACACTTAAATATAAATAGAGCACGCATCACCTACAAATCCTACAATGCAATTAAACAATCACATCATGAATTGTGTAAGGTCCAACAAAGAATAACGCCGAACAATGCTTTTGAACCTACATAATTTTGTGTTGAGCTCGTAAAAAGAATTATAGGTCAAACATTTAGCTCAATGCATATTCAAACACCAGCACTGCTTCCATCACAAGGAAAACGTAGAACATTCTAACTTGCAAACGATAAAAAACACATTAATCACTATTCAGATAATACGAACACGAATTCAGTGCCACCGATGACTAACTGCTTAGAGCTGAATCAGATTATAAAAACATACCAGAACTTGTAACAGTATACTAGATGAAAACATAAAAGCAAGACCAGCAAGCCTGCATATTCCGGAAAATAAATAGAAAAAGTTAATTCCACTTTGCTTATAACTTCATAAAAGCCGATCATTGCCAACAAAGATTACAACTTACACTGCCGTTACAAGAGTTGTCCAACAAGCCCAAAACGCCATGTGAAACACAAAACAAAAGAAGACGAAAAAAGAAATCAGTCCCCCAAAAAATTAATTTGTAAACAGATGAAAAAAAGGCACGCAAGACCCATCTTTAAATAAAGATCTTGCCCCAACAATTAATTTCGCTTGATAATTTTATTTAACTACAAGATCATAGTCAAACACAGGGCAACATTACAGTTTGTTGAAAAGAAAGGGACGGGCAAAAGAATCGAGGATGAATCGAAGAGCAAAGATGAAAGAATAATAAAGAAAAGAAATATAATTATTACCTTCAATAGTCATCGCCATTTTTGGCAGAGGGAAAATTGGAGTCGCTGTCGATCGAAATTTCGCTCAACAAAATTGAGAAGGTAAGGAAGATTAAAAAGAAAGCAAACAGATCATAATACCACAGATTTTTTCAAAAAAGGGTTCGGTTTTAATTTAGGATTTTTCCGAAAGTAGGCGTTGTGCGTCCCAGTTTAACTATCTCTCTCTAGAAATGATCATCTAACTAAGTTGGTAGATCACAAGGATTTTAATTTAGAGTCGTAGGATCGAGTCCTACAGAAAATATTTTATAATTTAGAGGTCTCCTACGGAAGCTGTTCTCAACCTGACGATGGGTTCAACCTACTATCCTACCTCCCTTACTCCCATTACATATGAGAATAAGGGACTTCTAATTTTTTTTTTTGTTTGATAAAATAAAATGATTAAATGCTAAATGATTCAATGGCTTGAATGATTCAAAACTCTGTATGAATTGACTCTGAATGTGATATATTGTTTAATAATAGTTCTGAATGTACAATCTGAATTATTAATATTTTCATTTTTATCTTTATAATGATTTATTATATTATAAGATATGATTGTTTAATAGACAATATGTGAAAAAATAGGTATTATGGTTTTGTTGTTTCAATGACTTCAGAATGTATTTTAATGTTGAATCACTCAGCATTGTTTTGCTGTTTCATTTAATATAGTCTTCATTCAGAGGTGAGAATCAAACACGTTGAATGTTGAACGATTCAATATTCAACGCTGAATGATTACATTAACAGTAAACAAATGGCCCCTTAGTAAACTAACTTTCACACATTTTCATTTTGGTCAATGAAATTGAAATATTATAAATCGGTCACTTCCGTTAGACACTTGTTTATATTTAGGCGCTCACTTTAGATTTTATTTTTATTTTAGTCATTTTTGTTACATTTTATAAATTTTATTTTCATTTTAGCCTTTCCTCTTATATTTTACTGTGATTTTAGTCGTTTCATGTTAAATTGGATATAATTGGAGTCTAAAGTAGATTTTTATAATTATAAATAATTAAAATATTTTCTCCACCCAAAAATATGATTTCCATGTCATTTGAAATATTAAACTCAATGACTAATTTTTCCTATTTGTGGAGTTGACTTTCTTGGAATTTGAGCATTTCTTCGTCTTTTTCTTAAGTTTTTTATGATCATCGTTTCTAGCCTCACATACCTTAAATTATTCATTTTCAACGGACTATCTGCTGAAGAGATTTTTAATTATTTGATATTAAATATTTAAATATTTTTGTAGACGTTCGCATATTTTTTTATAAGAGAAAATAACTTAGTGACCAAAAATCTCATATAATATATGTTTTTGTTCAATTTTTTTGGATTTGTCAAAATGACCAACAAAATCGTAATGCGATTTCTAATTCGCAACGCGATCTCCAGTATCGCAAATTCGCCGTGCATTTCGCGTTGCGATAGTTGAAAAACGCGTTGCGATTTTTCATTTCGCGTTGCGATAGTCTACAGTGTCGTTGCGATTTTCCATTTCGCGTTGCGATAGTCTACAGTGTCGTTGTGATTTTCCATTTCGCGTTGCGATAGTTTTAAAAATGGTATTGCATTTGTTTCTTAAGAATTTTCTCTAAAAAGATAGTATCCGCGCGGACGTGTTGAAGACACGTATTACCACGACCACGACCACGACCACGACCACGACCACGAGACGAGACGGCGGCGGCGCGCGAGAGTCCCCTTGTTCTCTTTCACTCAACAAGGAAGTGCAAAATCCAAACCTTAAATACCATTCTCAATAGTGTTTCCAAAACTATGTGGGATTGATCATTACTAACACTTAGATAATAGAGTATATTTATACAATGTTCAGCTCAATAATATGGTAAATCCTATAGTAGTTTCAGCTTTTTATACATTCAAAGATAAGCCAAATTCTATATATTTAGTCTTTGCATTTTATTCGACTTAAATAATTACGTGTTGATATATAAAACGATAGCGAGATCGAGATAATTTGTTTAATGAATTATGTTGTACAATGATTAAACTTAAGAGTGGAGAGAGGATGGTGAGGTGCTTGAAGGAGAGGTTGTGATTAGTAATTGAATGAGACTAATGATCCTGAATGTTATGCTTGATGATTTTTCAAAATATTTAAAGAGACTCTATTATCTATGAATTGATAAAATAATTTATGAGTTGAACATTGTATAAATATCTCTTCCTCATATATTTTCTTATGTGATATAGTTTGATATGATACTCTAAGATCCGTGATATTACTATTGGGAATGCTCAATCCCACATAGTTTTGGAAATAATATTGGGAATGGTATTTAAGGTTTGGATTTTGCACTTCCTTGTTGAGTGAAAGAGAATAAGGGGGACTCTCGCGCGCCGCCGCCGCCGTCTCGTGGTCGCGGTCGAGGTAATACGTGTCTTCGACACGTCCGCGCGGATACTACCTTTTTAGAGAAAATTCTTAAGAAACAAATGCAATACCATTTTTAAAACTATCGTAACGCGAAATGGAAAATCGCATCGACACTGTAGACTATCGCAACGCGAAATGGAAAACCGCAACGCGAAGTGCAGCGCGAATTTGCAATACTGGAGATCGCGTTGCGAATTAGAAATCGCATTACGATTTTGTTGGTCATTTTGGTAAATCCAAAAAAAATTAATCAAAATCGTATATTATATAGGATTTTTGATCACTGAGGTTATTTTCTCTTTTTATAATGCATTCACAAAGTCTCGCAAGCTTAACAGTATCGTGGGGAACAAGTAACAAGAGAAATAGTTCTATTTTTTCTTTCATTAAATTTAGACTGGACACCAAGCTTACAACAAAAATACTTGGTTTTATAAGAGGCAGCTGGCCAATTCCTTTACCATATGAACTATGTTGACTATGTTCGGTTCGATGACATTTCCTCGGGCTTCAATCTTTAGTGGAAAAATATTTAATTATTTATTATGGAAAAAGATTCATGTAAGAATATCGTTATACTCAATTTTATACTAGTGACCCAAATGGCAATAAAGTTGAAGATGAGTGATTAAAATGAAAAGAATTTTTTTAAGATGTGACTAAAATGTAAATAACACCAAACTTAAGTGACTAAAAATACAAATAATATCTTCATTATTAGGCACCAGTCTTGATGATGATATTTCTTGTTTTTTCTTCACTTCACTTGTATCATATCTTTGTTTTTTTTTGGATAATTCAATTTTTTATTACCCAAGAAACAACGTTAGTTACAAGAATCACCGATCCCAGAAAACATGAAGAATATACAAGCAAATACAAAATAAACGATCGGTATTAATCAATACCCCAAGCAATGCAAAGATTGGAGTTAACATAGTCAAGCCTATTAATATTTCCCCCCTAAGTTTAATTCCTACATAGTCTTTAATAATGTTAAGTAATTTATCAGTATTTCGAGAGCAACCTTTGAAAATCCTTCGGTTGCGCTCCTCCCACAAAACGTAGATGGTTGCGCTCCAAGCAAGTTTGAGGATAGTGATTAATAAAGATTTTCCTTTCCAAGTGCTGCTCGCCCAAGAGATCATGTCTTCCCAAGAAGAAATAGTCTTGTTAATCCCATTCAGAAGAAGAGTTTGTACCCGTAGCTGAGTGGCAATCGGGCATTCAAAGAACAGATGGTTTCGATTTTCTAAAGTATCATTACATAAAACACAGCTTCCAATAGAAACAATTCCATCCGTTGAAGGCGATCACATGTAGGCAGCCTATCAATCATATCTTTGTTCTTCCCTTGTTTTTCTTAGTTTTTATTAATTATGCCTTTGTGATACGTTTTCTTTTATCTGTATAACACATTTTTTCTACTTTTTGGCATGTTTTCAGGGTTGCATTTGACATTGTCTCGATTGATGCACTTATTTGTTATCATGTTGATCTTCTCTGCCTTGGACCATCGGATTGAATTTAGATATGTAATATGCGTTCGTGATAGTTTTCACACGCTGGACTTTGATTTGTAGTTTGTCTGTGATCTTTCAGTAGCTTGATCTCATTTTGTGATTCATTTGTTGATGCTATCATATCTGTTGATATATATCTTTTGTTCAAGGTTTTTTTTTTGTTAGGTTTTAACATTTTCCTTATATGATCATTGTGTGACATTAAAGTGACTGATTTTTGTGTCAATGATTATAATAACATATTTAATTATGTGTTTAGTTTACATATATTGTTATAAACCTTTATTATAATTATATATATTTCATCTTTTAAATAAAATTAGTGACTTATATCAATTTTTTATATAAATTCCTTAAAAAATTATATAAATAATCTTTAAAGGTATGTTTTATTAAAAATTATTAAAAATTAATTTAAATATAACTGTATTATAATTATAATTAAACTTTTATAAAGGATTAATCCTTAGAGATCCTTGAAATTTTTAATATTTTATAATAAAAACAATTTATTTAGTGGTGTATTTTGATGCATCATAATAATGATGTACTTCAATGTGCGACGTTAACTTTAAATTTTTCTATATATTATAAACAATACCCTAACTATGGTGTTAGGATTTATACGGTTTGATTCTAATTTTTTAATAGTTTACCATTTTTTTTTCAATTCAATTAACTATGATTTTCGATTTTTATATTAACTTTAAATTTTTAGATTTTACATATTATTTTAATAAAAAGCTTTATTTTATTACTATTATATATTATTAATAAATTTTAAAGTATTTTTCATAAATATTTATTAAAATAAATAAATTTTCAAGTAAATAATAAATAATTAATAAATTATATAAAATAATTTTAAATAAATTCACTATTCTTCAAGTATACAACTTAAAAAAATATTATAATTTAAATAAAAGTTATTTTGGAATTAGAAATTATAAATCATTCAAACACTATAATTTTATTGGTGATCCCTACTTTCGTATGTTAAAATACGTAATCCTTTTAACATTTTGTCTGCCAATTCATAGCTTATCAATCATTTCTTCTTTCAATTTCTATTTTCTGTCTTCTTTTCCTAGTTTGGGAGTTCGTTGGTTCTAAAGGCCATCGACAATAGTTGAGCATGGAGAAGTTGATTCCATGTGTCTGGTATACCAGGCAAGCACCAATGGCTGCAGTCTTGTGGAGCCTCAGCCGGAGTCCCCAACTCCCGGTGCCTTGACGGGTGACCATCTTTCCTGAACTCCGTCATGTACGTTATGTTCAACAACTGGACCTTCCAATTACCGTTTGTCATTTGATTAATCACATCACCAATGTATCGATTATTCCAAGGCTCTGTTTTGAGCTTTTTGTCGTTCTTTTCTGGTTCCATTTCTGCATCGCACAGGCCACCATCATTCCACGTGCCGTTCCTGTACGCATAAAAACACTCATCAATCGTTGCTACAACCGAAGCTTTTGTTTTCCAATATGGCGAATAGTTTCCAATTCTCTTACGTGTAATGAGCTGGTGAATAGTTTCGAAGAAAAACATGGCTCCGTTCGGGGTTTAAGTTGTTGGTTATCCACAACTTCAATGTTTGCAGAGATTTTCGAAACCCTTCCATCACATCCATCGTCATGTTCACTTCCCCTCCTTCCTGAAAATAGCAGCCCCTGCAAATGCAAGATATATTCGTTTAATATTCCGTTGGAAATGGAGGCCGTGAAGAGAGGACGATCGAGGCCATACATGTTAGCAGTTTTCTCCTTGTTCCACCAGTGTCCTGTATTGAAGACTAGAACATTGGCCCCCGTCCATCGAGCGGAATACTTGTGCAACTCGTCAACCAAAATGGTTACTCGAACTTGAGGTGGTGAATCCTTTGGTGGGTGATTCATGGCAGCAAGGAACGGAGCCCTGTAATATTCAATGGTGAGGTTGAAATCTCTGAACTTCATAGAAAGAAAGCCCTTGTGCTTTGTTATTGGGTTTCCGTTTTGTTCGAAGATCGTGGACTGATTGGAAACTGCCTGAGCCAGCATGCATATGAGCGACTCCCATTGGTTTCTTCCGATCGAATCACCGGCGAACACTATCCGTCCATTTCGACTCCTCTCTAGAAAGTCGCTTGCATTGAATCTAAGGTTGATTGAATCAATTTAGTTTACCATAAACACAACTTAAAAAAAATGGGAAGGAAGGAAGGAAATAGAGAATTGCCTAGGGAAATCACAGCCATGGGGTTGCCATCTCCATTTTAGAAACTCAACGTCTTTTCGTCCATTCCGACGACACCGGAAACCAGGATCGAGAAACGCGCAGTTCTCATCGTACAACTGAATTGGATGATTCTCATCCCGAACCCATGTACCGTAGGAATAATCACAACCTTGGTTTGGTATCAGCTTCTGAACAGCAGGGGAGAAATTACCGAAACGGAAAAGAAAAGGCGATCGTGAAGAGTCTGGGAGGTTGAAAACAATGATGAAGGAGATTAATATGACCAAGACAAAAGAGAGAATATAGCAACGGTCTCTCTTAATTATGATGAATCTTGTTTGGGTCGTGCGTTGATCCATAAGATGAGAATCGAGGAGGATGATGGTGGACAAGACGGTTTTTTTAGACATTGAAAGAGTGTTTGTAGGAAACTTTTTGCTTGTTTTTATCATTAGTTGTGCACTGCATGTTTTTTGTCTTTTTTACCCGGTTAAAGTACCGTAGTAGTCCCTAGACTACATCTGGGGTTCCATTTTGGTTGCCCTATTGGAAAAATGAGTAAATTGATCTTGTATATTTCTTAAAGAGAAAGTCCCCCCATTAAAATTCCATCCTTTTTTGTTTTGTTAATTGATAGGATGTAGATTATAAAAAAAGGTAAAACAACCATTTTAGTCTTGTGTGTTTTTAATTTTTTTTTCTCAATTTAGTCCTCAACAAATTCAATAACACTAACTATCAAGAATGAAAATATAAGCTAGTAAGTTTCTAGTTATTCAATCATCCATTAAGTTATTGGGACAAGGTTCCCCAAAACTTGTAACTAGATATTGTCTATAAAATATGTGAATCACATAAATAGAAGTGGTGATCGTTGGGTTGTAGAAATTATGTACGCATATATAGATGAACCACCAACTTGTAAGTACTATCATCTACTATATGAGAGAACTACCACAAGTAGTAAATTGCTAAAACATGAGTGAGGACCACTAAGCTTTTTCATTCACAAATTAACTCATGCAAAAATACATGGCATGCTTTTATTTATATGATAAAGTAAGACATATGATGCAAGATTTCAGAGAGCATGCACAAGTATAAAAAATCGCGGTGATGTGAAACACATTTAAATATCTAATAGAAAATTCAAAACATAGATCATAATAACACAAATAAAGACACATAATGGCTTAAAATATTTATTGATATCGATAAACTCTTAATTAAATTCATATTTAAGAGATTATTCATTCATGTAAAACTAGTCAAATTAGTCAAAGTCATATGTTAAAATCAACTATTTGGTTAAAGTAAAAAATTCATTCAAAGTCAAAGGGTTAGAATGGGTCTGGTCAATGGGTCAAATCGGGTATGCTCAACAGGTGAAATCATACATGGTTAACTAGTCGAATTAAGTTTGGTCAATGAGTCAGATTGAATCTAGTTAATGAGTCATATCAAGATTGGTTAAAATGTTAAATTAGGTATAGTTAACAGACCGAATCAAGTCTTACCAACGGGTCTAGTTAATGGATTGGACTGGATCTGGTTAACGAGTTAGATCAGTCAACGAGTTGAGTCAGTCAATGGTCAATGGGTCGGTTCGATTTAGAGTATGTAAAGTACATGTTTGGTTGAAAATGGGTACGAGACAAGCAACCTGGGTCAAGGTTTAACTATACCATCTCAAATTTCAGGTTAGTAGAATCGGGTTTGTTTTCGAGTAATTGGGTGAAATTTCATAACTTTTGGAAATATTTTTTGAGTAAATGTGAGGTAAATATTTTTGAAAAATAATAATTATGATTTTATAAAGTATTATTGAGATTTTTAAAATAAGGACTAAATTGAATTTTAATTGATTTTGAAGCTTTGGTGGCTAAATTGTAAATAGATCAAAATTTATAATTATAAAAACAATATTTTCAAGATTATTTTTCCTTCCAAATTCTCCGTGAGTCATTTTGCTTGATTTTAACAATTTTTATAACTACTATTTAATTCGTTTTAACTACAATTTTTATAACTACTATTTAATCCTCTGGCCAAACACATTTGCAACTTACCAAATACTCTCAAAATTCTTCTTCATTTTCTCTCAATTCTCACCGAAAACCTCTATTTTTCTTCTTTCAAATTCTTTTTGTTTTTGGCCGAAATTCCATTGATCTATTCTTCAAGATCTTCAAGCATTCATTCTTTATCTTCAACTAAGGTGATTCTTCATCTTTGGATCTTCTTTTAATCAGCTTGCTTTTATGTGATCCAATCTTGCATGGTTAAATGATTATATGTTATTTTGAAAAGAAAAATAGAATTGAGTTTGGTTTGATTTGATTTTCAAAGTGATCAAAATTGATTTTGAGTTTTTTTTTAATGAGATTTTTTAATGATTTGATTGAATTGGTGGACGTGATCTAAACATCATCTCTAATTGTTTCTGATCAAGTTTGATCAATGGCGATGCGCTTTAAAGAGTGTGGAGGAGTTCTTGACAAAATTAGTAAGAGTTTGATTTTTAGAATTAGAAACGCGTTCTATTTTGAAATAGAGTTTGCCGTTGTGTTTTTGAGTATTTATTAATTGATAAATGTTTTCTTTAATTTGAATAAGTAGTGGTTTAAATTGGTGTTGCATTAGAGAAGATTTGACAGTAAATTGGCGTGTTTCCCTTGTATTCTTCGAGCAAGAAGTGCATCAGTGAGTGGCTGCACATTCTTCCTAAGATGTGCATTATTAATGTTAATTAAGGGCTTAGTTTATAGGTTGATTTCATATACAAGACCCTAGAGTAAGTGTCTACTTCTCCATAATCTTGGATTAATTGACAAATTGTTCATATCGAGACCTTTTATATGAAAGACATGAAACTCTTTGTTTTTTTTTATCTAAGTGTAAGTGAATATCGAGATACGAGGTAAGTTTGGAAGTGTTAGAACTTGCTCCACTTGAAGTATAAGGGGTAAGGTTAGAATGTTAGAGTTTGCTCCACCAATTATGTGGTTTTGAATTTATGTGAGTCCACAAATAAATGAGAGTTGTATGAAGTCAATTTATCCAATGAGTAAGTATGCATATGCTTCATTTCGAACAAAATGCCAACGTATCTTGATTATGAAATATGTTATGTGATTTTGATATGCATTGATAAATGCAAGGAAATGGTAATTGTATATGTGTATTGTGGCAACCATGATGGTAAGATGATAAGAATGAATGAGTATGACTTATGGTTCTGATTTTTATATTATTCATGTTCATCATGTATGTAAATTGTATGACATTTGAGTGATGTGTTGGGAAATAAAACGAGTAACAAGTAATTTCCCTATAACCAGATTAGTGAGAATGCGATATAAAAGCGGAAAAATAATACCCGAAATTGATAACGGAGTTCAGCCAATTTACTTACGTCTCCGGACTGCTGCAGATCTTTTACTAAGAGAGAAAATTTACAGGTGTTTACAAAACACTCACTACTCACAAGAAAGCTCTCTAGTATTGGGAGAAAGAAATGATTTTTTTGGATGATTTTGAAGCTAAATGAGCTATGATATTTATAGTTGAAGGTTAAAGACTAATCTTATAAATACCCTAAAGTCCAATGACTAATAATAATTACCCCATTACAATTTTTCAGCAAACATCTACCAAACTTTGAAAAACCATTTTTCAAAGAAACATTTACCAAACTTTGAAAACCATTTTCAAAGAAACATTTACTAAACTTTGAAAACCATTTTTTCAAAGTTGGTTGCCAAACTTTGAACTTTTAACAACCTCCCACTTGAAGACTGATTTTAATATGTCTTCACACCTCGATCAATGCAGCAGCTTTTCTAGTCTTGCTACTCTAGCATGCCAACTGAAGTTGAACACAACTTCAGTTTGTCAGTAGTCACCGTCTTTGTCAACATGTCTGTCGGATTTTGAGCTCCACTAATCTTTTCAAGTTTCAAAATCTCATCTTCCAGAAGAGACCGGATAAAATGATATCTCAATTGTATGTTCCTCGTCCTGAAATGAAAAGACGGATTCTTTGCTAGATGTATAGCACTTTGACTGTCGCAATACAAGATATTGTTTTCTTGTTTCTTCCTAACTCTTCCAAGAAACTTTGGAGCCAAACCATCTCCTTGCTGGCTTCCGTAACAACGACATATTATGCTTCAGTTGTGGAGAGAGCAACTATCTTCTGTAGTTGAGAAACCAACTCACTGCAGTTCCTCCTAGAGTATAAACATACCCTGTAGTGCTCCTTCTGATGTCAATATTTCCGGCTAAGTCAGCATCTACATAGCCTGTCAGTATCGTATCTTCACCTTTGAAAGAAAGTGTTGTTTGTGGTACCCACAGATATCTGAGGATCCATTTGACTGCTTCCCAATGTACATTGCCTGGATTATTCATGTACCTACTAACAGCTATGTAGATATCTGGTCTAGTACAAACCATGGCATACATCAGACTTCCAATTGTTGAGGCATACGACACCTTCACCATGTGTGCACGTTCTTCCTCCGTCTTTGGTGACTGTTCTTTGCAGAGTCTAAAATGAACACATAAAGGTGTACTTTCTGGTTTAGCATCTTGCATGTTGAACCTGGAGAGTACTTTGTTGATGTACTCCGCCTGTGATAACATCAAAGTCCCCGACTTTGTGTCTTTCTTTATCATCATCCCAAGAATATGCTTTGCAACACCCATATCCTTCATAGCAAACTGCTTCTACAATTTTTGCTTCAAGTTTATAATCTCTTGCATGTCTGAGCTGCAACGAGCATGTCATCAACCTACAACAATAAAATAATGAAGCTATTGTCGAACCTCTTGATATAGCAACAATGATTTGCTTGGCATCTGGTAAAACCACTACTACTCATGAAGCTATCGAACTTCTTGTACCACTGTCTAGGAGCTTGTTTTAAACCATACAAGCTCTTCTTCAACCTACATACCAGGTTTTTGTTTCCTGCCTCTCCGAAGCCTTCTGGCTGCCTCATCTAGATTTCTTCCACCAAATCACCATGAAGGAAAGTTGTCTTTACATCTAACTGCTCAAGATGTAAATTCTCTACAGCTACAATTTTCAACACCAGTCTGATTGTAGAAGTTTTACAACTGGAGAGAAAATTTCATTGTATTCAATACCTTCTTTTTGCTGAAAGCCTTTGACAACCAATCTTGCTTTGTAGCGTTTTCTCCCATCGTGCTCTTCTTTGATACTGTAAATCCACTTGTTATGAAGCGCTTTCTTGCCTAATGGTAATTCAGCTAATTCTCATGTCTGATTTGACATAAGCGAGTCCATCTCATCTTTCATGGAAGACTCCCACTTGACTGAATCCTCTATTTG